ATGATAGAGTGCAGTTTTTGTTGAGACATTTAAATTGATCACTCATGATAATTTCTTTAAGTGTATGTCGATAATGCCGTTTATTATTAAGAAAATACAACACTTACCGATAGATGACTTGGTAGCACTGATCAGAAATTGACAGATGATATTCAGCTGATATGACTTTTGTTTTACGAGTCAATGTTTGTTTACGATCAAATTGTTTAAGTTGAGTGAATTTTAATGATAATTAGAATGTTGTGTATATGTTCGCAAAAAAATAAACTTCGAAGATTTTTTGATGAAAATTAAGTAAATAGAATTATTTTCAGTACCAGTATGGCTTGCAAACAGTTCGTAATTTTATTACAAAATAAATAAATGCACATTAAATATTCAAACTTGTTGTTTTACCGGAATAAAAATAAAAACAATAGGACTGATCTTTAAGAACGTGCGTTCGTAACGATACTTCCACCTTAAAACTATGACTAGACTATGACTAGACTATGACTAGACTATGACTAGACTATAGACTAGACTATAGACTAGACTATAGACTAGACTATAGACTAGACTATAGACTAGACTATAGACTAGACTAGACTAGACTATGACTAGACTATAGACTAGACTATAGCTAGACTATAGACTAGCCTATAGACTAGACTATAGACTAGACTATAGACTAGACTATAGACTAGACTATAGATAGACTATAGACTAGACTATAGACTAGACTATAGACTAGACTATAGACTAGACTATAGACTAGACTATAGACTAGACTATAGACTAGACTATAGACTAGACTATAGACTAGACTATAGACTAGACTATAGACTATAGACTAGACTATAGACTAGACTATGACTAGACTATAGACTAACTATAGACTAGACTATAGACTAGACTATAGACTAGCCTATAGACTAGACTATAGACTAGACTATAGACTAGACTATAGATAGGACTATAGACTAGACTATAAGACTAGACTATAGACTAGACTATAGACTAGACTATAGACTAGACTATAGACTAGACTAATAGACTAGGACTATAGGACTAGAATTATAGACTTTACTATAGACTAGATTATAGACTAGACTATAGACTAGGACTATAGACTAGCTACTATGTGACTATTGATTGGATTAATTAGTATACTATAGACTAGACTATAAACTAGGTTATAGACTAGACTATAAACTAGATTGTGAACTAGGACTATAATTCTAGGACTACAGACTGGACTACAATTTGATTATGACTACTCTTCTCCAGTTTCACCTTAATAGTAGCTTTTATACAAAATGGTAAAGTTTTATAGATTTTCTTGAAGTTGCAAGGCTGCCGTCAGCTATTTTTAAATACAGGCACATTATCAATAACTTTATTTCTATATTTGTTAACAATTTATGTTATCATCTACATTTTCTTTTAAAATTAAATAACAAATACATTATTTCAAGCACATAAATCTCCTCAAAAATAGAAAACTAAAAATCCAAAGAAAAATCACATTTAAAAGCAAAACTCATAAATCGGTTAAAAGAATACTACTAGAAAGAAAAAATTCCATAGAAATATCTATTTTAAACACATGAACAACACGACTACCAAACAGCAACCACTTGACGTTAAATGCAAATTTATTATCCTTTTTATATTCAAAAATTCGCTTTGACTGGCACCAAAGCAGATCAAGAATATAGAAAAAAGGCAAAACAACAAAAAATACTACTAAACGATGACAAATGTCCTTTAACAAATTATGCAAATTTTCTAGACTCTGGATATTAACAAATAAAAAAATCTTGTCTCTTAACACCCGCATAAAGTGAAAAAGATTTTTGGGTACAAGATTTCTAAAGAGAATTTTTTTATTTTGGGGTAATAAAAAAAGTTTGCATTTTTATACCATTGTTGGCCAGTTGTAAGGAATTTTTCTAGTCTTTAATAGTATTATAAATAAGTTGGTTCACATAATTAAGTCTTTAAGGTTTTCAGGGTTTTTTTGCGCATAAAGGAATCCGTATCCTTTTTTCGGATGTTATTGGCAAACAGCAGAACGAAATGATTTGATGGTGTATAAGTATGTTGACTTTTTATTGAGCATTTTTTTTTATTTAATAATTTCTATTGTAACAAGGGTGGTTTTGAGGATAAATATGTTCAGAAGGACACCCTACAGATAGGAATTAGCACTAGAAATACTAAGAATACCTAGGAAGGCAGTAATAAGTTGAAGTGCTTTATTGAACGTACTGTGGCTGATTGTTAGCATCATAGTCTAGTCATAGTCTAGTCATAGTCTAGTCATAGTCTAGTCATAGTCTAGTCATAGTCTAGTCATAGTCTAGTCATAGTCTAGTCATAGTCTAGTCATAGTCTAGTCATAGTCTAGTCATAGTCTAGTCATAGTCTAGTCATAGTCTAGTCATAGTCTAGTCATAGTCTAGTCATAGTCTAGTCATAGTCTAGTCATAGTCTAGTCATAGTCTAGTCATAGTCTAGTCATAGTCTAGTCATAGTCTAGTCATAGTCTAGTCATAGTCTAGTCATAGTCTAGTCATAGTCTAGTCATAGTCTAGTCATAGTCTAGTCATAGTCTAGTCATAGTCTAGTCATAGTCTAGTCATAGTCTAGTCATAGTCTAGTCATAGTCTAGTCATAGTCTAGTCATAGTCTAGTCATAGTCTAGTCATAGTCTAGTCATAGTCTAGTCATAGTCTAGTCATAGTCTAGTCATAGTCTAGTCATAGTCTAGTCATAGTCTAGTCATAGTCTAGTCATAGTCTAGTCATAGTCTAGTCATAGTCTAGTCATAGTCTAGTCATAGTCTAGTCATAGTCTAGTCATAGTCTAGTCATAGTCTAGTCTATAGTCTAGACTATAGTCTAGGCTATAGTCTAGTCTATAGTCTAGTCTATAGTCTAGTCTATTGTCTAGTCTATAGTCTAATCTATAGTCTAGTCTATAGTCTAGTCTATAGTCTAGTCTATAGTCTAGTCTATAGTCTAGTCTATAGTCTAGTCTATAGTCTAGTCTATAGTCTAGTCTATAGTCTAGTCTATAGTCTAGTCTATAGTCTAGTCTATAGTCTAGTCTATAGTCTAGTCTATAGTCTAGTCTATAGTCTAGTCTATAGTCTAGTCTAGTCTTTAGTCTAGTCTATAGTCTAGTCATAGTCTAGTCATAGTCTAGTCATAGTCTAGTCTATAGTCTAGTCTATAGTCTAGTCTATAGTCTAGTCTATAGTCTAGTCTATAGTCTAGTCTATAGTCTAGTCTATAGTCTAGTCTATAGTCTAGTCTATAGTCTAGTCTATAGTCTAGTCTATAGTCTAGTCTATAGTCTAGTCTATAGTCTAGTCTATAGTCTAGTCTATAGTCTAGTCTATAGTCTAGTCTATAGTCTAGTCTATAGTCTAGTCTATAGTCTAGTCTATAGTCTAGTCTATAGTCTAGTCTATAGTCTAGTCTATAGTCTAGTCTATAGTCTAGACTATAGACTAGACTATAGACTAGACTAGTCTAGACTAGTCTAGTCTATAGTCTAGTCTATAGTCTAGTCTATAGTCTAGTCTATAGTCTAGTCTATAGTCTAGTCTATAGTCTAGTCTATAGTCTAGTCTATAGTCTAGTCTATAGTTTAGTCTATAGTCTAGTCTATAGTCTAGTCTATAGTCTAGTCTATAGTCTAGTCTATAGTCTAGTCTAGTCTAGTCTATAGTCTAGTCTATAGTCTAGTCTATAGTCTAGTCTATAGTCTAGTCTATAGTCTAGTCTATAGTCTAGTCTATAGTCTAGTCTATTATAGTCTATAGTCTAGTCTATAGTCTAGTCTATAGTCTAGTCTTTGATCTAGTTTTTAATCTAGTCTTTAGTCTCTTCTATAGTCTAGTCTATAGTCTAGTCTATAGTCTAGCCTATAATCTATTCTATAGTCTCGTCTATAGTCCAGTCACAGTCCCAAAGTCTAGTCTTTAGTCCAATCACAGTCCAAATCTCTGCTGACAGCCTAAAGGATATGAAAATTATTTATAAAGTATTTGAAATTCGACTTTGTTACCCTCATTTTTAATGTGGGTTGATTTCTTATTCCAACATTTCATCATACATGCAAGTGAGTTGTCATAAAAACTAAACGAATTGAATTTTATGACAATGTTTGTCATTTGTAACAGTTGGTTGTAATGTCAACTAACCCATCATATTTCCGAGATGATCATTATTTAATGTTTCATAAAGAAAAATGAATTAAATGTAGTGGAAGATAATCTAATTATGGTCACTTATATGCAGTATTAAAACACATTATTTATAACAAACAAGTTATTAAAATATCTTTTATGTTTTTAAAAAATACATATTTAGTTCTACTAAAAACATATTCCTAGAGACTTTTTGACAAGTTTAAACTCTAACAAAACAACCTGTCAAATTCGTTACATTTTGCCTTGTTTACCAAAAGAAACTTTACTTTATTATTTGTGTTTAGCCTAAATGTATGCCAACTACTGTTATTTTAAGCAATGTGTCTAAAAATATGCATTAAAAAGTCATTTTGCTGGAAAAACATTTTAATACTAAATTTGTTTACTTTAAATAATAGTTTTTTTAGAACTCATTGTTATTTTTGAAGGTGTTGTCTAGAATCTACTTAAAAAAGGGTTAATTTTCGGCTTAAGTAAACAATGACAGTTGTAATTGTTATAGTTTAACACAATTATTAAAACTACCCCTAAATATATGCTAAATGACAACCGTTAAATGTTAATCATTGTCAAAGAACAAACACTAAATAAAATGCTTTTACAAATATCATTACATTCTTAAAGTACGCGAAATTAAATGTATTGAAATCTAGGTAAAAGTCTAAAAGGGCTCAAGACCCCTAGGTAGTCTTGAGCTCGATTACTTTTTAGTTAATTTCTTTGCATATTTGTTAAACAAATGATAACTCATTTTAATTATTTATTTTCTATTTTTTCAGGTTTGGTTTCAAAATCGTCGCGCCAAATGGCGTAAAACGGAAAAATGCTGGGGTCGCAGCACTATTATGGCTGAGTATGGTTTGTATGGAGCCATGGTTAGACATTCGTTGCCTTTACCTGAAACGATTTTGAAGTCGGCAAAAGAAAATGAATCGGTAGCACCCTGGCTGCTAGGTATGGAGAATAAAAGTAAATGCAATAATTGTATCGAAATAATTAAATATTTAATTAAGACAATTATAATAAGTTTGTATTAAAGTGATAGAATTAACTCACGTGAAGCCAAGAATCCAGATCTTTAAAACACTAATATTAATCGACTACAAACGACGATAGTTCCAAAACTCAGGCACAAGTGTTTTTACTAGTCTATTACATATGCTCTAAATAGACTAAGCCATGCCAAGACTATGACTAGGCTATCACAAGACTATGGCTAGACTATGACTAGACTATGACTAGACTATGACTAGACTATGACTAGGACTATGACTAGACTATGACTAGACTATGACTAGACTATGACTAGACTATGACTAGACTATGACTAGACTATGACTAGACTATGACTAGACTATGACTAGACTATGACTAGACTATGACTAGACTATGACTAGACTATGACTAGACTATGACTAGACTATGACTAGACTATGACTAGACTATGACTAGGACTATGACTAGACTATGACTAGACTATGACTAGACTATGACTAGACTATGACTAGACTATGACGTAGACTATGACTAGACTATGACTAGACTAGACTAGACTGACGAGGACGAGACGAGAGAAGGACGAGACGAGACGAGGACGAGACGAGGACGAGACGATGACGAGACGACGAGACGAGGACGAGACGAGGACCGAACGAACGAAACGAAGAACGAACGAACGAACGAACAAAGAACGAACGAAGAACGAACAACGAACGAACGAACGAAAACGAACGAACGAAAAGAACGAACGAACGAACGAAACATAAACGAACGAACGAACGAACAAAAACGAACGAACGAAGAACAACGAACGAACGAACGAACGAACGAAAGAAACGAACGACGAACGAACGAACGAAACGAACGAACGAACGAACAACGACAACGAACGAACGAAACGAACGAACGAACGAACGAACGAACGAACGAACGAACGAACGAACGAACGAACGAAACGAACGAACGAACGAACGAACGAACGAACGAACGAACGAACGAAAAAACGAACGAACGAACGAACGAACGAACGAACGAAACGAACGAACGAAACGAACGAACGAACTAACGAACTAACGAACGAACGAAACGAACTAACAACACGAACGAACGAACGAAGAACTAACGAACGAAACGAACTAAAACGAACTAACTAAGAACGAAGAACGAACGAACTAAGAACTAACTAACGAACGAACGAACGAACGAAAACGAACGAACGAACGAACGAACGAACGAAAAAACGAACGAACGAACGAACTAACGAACTAACGAACTAACGAACAACGAACGAACTAACGAAATAACTACGAACGAACGAACAAAACGAACTAACGAACGAACTAACGAAAATAACGAACGAACGAACGAACGAACGAACTAACTAACGAACGAACTAACGAACTAACTAACGAACGAACTAACTAACAACTAACGAACGAAACGAACGAACGAACGAACGAACTAACTAACAACTAACTAAACGAACGAACTAAAGAACGAACTAACGAACGAACTAACTAACGAAACGAACGAACTAACTAACTAACGAACTAACTAACTAACTAACTAACTAACTAACTAACGAACGAACGAACTAACTAACAACTAACGAACTAACGAACTAACTAACTAACTAACTAACTAACTAACTAATAACTAACTAACTAACTAACTAACTAACTAACTAACTAACTAACTAAAGTAACTACTAACTAACAATAACTAACTAACTAACGAACTAACTAACTAACTAACTACAACTAACGACCTAAACTACCTAACTACCTAACTACCTAACTAACTTGAACTAACTAAACTAACTAATAACTAACTAACTAACTAAACTAAGTAACTAACTAACTAGCTTACTAACTAACTAACTACCTAACCAAACTAACTAACTAACTAACGAACTACCTAAAGATTACTAGATTATCTCCAATAGTAATCATTTTAACGGAACATCCTGACCTTGAAACCTCATCAACTGTATCAGTTTTTATACCCTACACCACTATACACCACCTTAAAGTATACCGATCAACTCAGAATCACTTTCTGAGTCGATTTAACGATGTCCGTCCGTCCGTCCGTCCGTGTGTCCATGTAAACGTTGTTATCAAAGTACAGGTCGCAATTTTCAAGATAATTTGATGAAATTTGGAATACACGTTTGTTTTGACTCCAGGCCTATTGAAAATGGTTAAAATCGGACCATTATTTTACCTAGCCGCCATACTGAACCCCCGAAAAGGGCTTTTGAGCTCATAATTATGTATAATATAAATGTAGCCCATTTTATCGGGATCGGTCCACATTTGCTCCTATCCCACATATAAAGACTATTTTAGAAAATAAGTTTTTCGTCAATAAATTGCTTAAATAAATCGGAATCAAGGTAATATTCAAGATAAATGCTTTATTATGAAAAATAAATCACATTTAATATTCATAACTGGTGTAGGGTATCATATAGTCGACCAAGCCCTTACTTACTTACTTGTTAAAACTAAAAAAGTTTTAAAAATCGTCAAACAATATCTTTATTTGAGAATTTCAAGCAAAATATTATTGATAATATATTTTGTATATTGGAATAAGATAACAGTTGTGTAAAAAAATATTTATTTAGTAAAATCAAATCAAAGTTATTCCTGTATAACAAAGTACTTGTTAATAATTGCGCTGTATGGACTCGTGCTTTTTAACAATAACAACTTCAAGTGAATAATATATTTGGAATAAGTACTTTACTCCTTGAGTATTATGGTCGATTTGTTTTCAATTTATTTAGAATAATTTTTAATTATCGAAATGCTTAAAACCAGTACAGTTGGGGGGCTTGTTTCAACCTACTCAAGACGGAGAAAAATAAAAGTTTTTTTTTGCTTTTAAAACTTAGTAACAATAGGTAGATGGTAAAACAATTGTCAATTAACTTTTTTGCTTTTTCTTCATTATTGATTATTTGTTTTCTGTTGATTACCAATTATCTAGCAAATGATAACATCATCATTAGACAACAGTTCAAACTATCTATTGGTAATTGAAAAAATAAACAGCCAAAACGACTAAACGAACAATAGAAATTGAAAATTCTATTTTCGAACATACTTTAAAAGCATGACGAATTTCAGATAAAAAGTATTTGCTGCAAAACACATAAATAAAACTGGAAACAAAACTTAAGAGCGCGTTTACAATATTTTAAACGTTGTCATATGTTAGAAATTTGTTCAACAAAAAAAAAAAAAATATAGCAGCAGATGATAATCACTAAACAATCGTAACAACCACCAACACGACCAGCAGCAGCATCCTTTCTTATCTTCAGCACCCTTTTTAACACCCCTTGATTTTTGGACAGACAGACATCAATAGCTTTGAAATATTGAAAAAAAAAACAATAAACTTTCTAAATAGACAGTACTTGACAAAATCCAACAAATTGTTATAAAAATACCACAACAAAACACCCGTTTTTTTTTTTTTGTTCAGACAATAACAACAAAAAGTAGAAAATTTGCAAAAGGGACCTTGCTAAAGATGCGCAATAAAATCGACTTTTGGGATTAACAAACGTTCAAATAAATGATTGTGTTAAATTCTTTTTTCGTAGAGGGGTGAGATTGTTCGCATTATGTATGAATATTATTAGGTTTTAGGCCACAAAATAACTTTATAAATATTTTTCTCTGTTATCTAGGGAAAAATAAAGGGTGTTGCAATAATAGAATTAAAATAATAATTAAATTTTTTGAGATCTTTATTTAACTTATCTAAAACTTGAATATAACCAAGCGTTTTTCAAAATTATCATACAAAACTATACGTAAGCTATTGAACCGACTGCAATCCAGTCTATAGCGCCGACTATAGTAAATCATATTCCCGAATAAAGTATAGTCCATAGTCTCGACTATAGTCTATATTATAGTTTATAGTCCATACTATCGTTTATTCTCTAGTTCAGTCTATATTCTACTTACAGACTATATTCTAGTCTATAGTTTAGACTATAGTCTGGTGTATAGTCCAGACTAAAGTCTAGTCTAGTGTATAGTCCAATCTATAGTCTAGTCTATATTTCAGACTAAACTCCAGTCTATAGTCCAGAATATAGTGTAATCTATAGACTATATAGAATAGACTATAGTCTAGCCTATAGTCCGATTATAGTCAAGTCTGTAGTCCAGACCAAAGTACGAACTAAAATCTAGTCCATAGTCCAGACTATAGTCTAGTCTAGTGTAGAGTACAGTCTATAGTCTAGTGTATAGTCCAATCTAAATCTAGTCTATATTCCAGACTATAGTCTAGTATATAGTTTAAATAATAGTCAAGTGTATAGTCCAGTCTATAATCTAGTCTATATTCCAGACTAAGAACTAGTCTATAGTCTAGACTATTGTCCAGTCTCTACCTTAGGCTAGATTATAGTCTAAAGACCCGACTACAGTCTAGTCTCTAGTTCAATGTAAGAACTAGTCTATAGTCTAGACTATTGTCTAGTCTATACCTTAGGCTAGATTATAGTCTAAAGACCCGACTACAGTCTAGTCTCTAGTCCAATGTATATTCCACTCTATAGCCTGGACTCTAGTCTATAGTCCAGACTACTCTATAGACCAGACTATAGTCGAGACTGTAGGCCAGACTATAGTCTAGTCTATAGAGCAGATTATAATCAAGTCTATAGGCCAGACTTTTGTCTATTATATAATCCAGACTATAGACTATTATATAGTCTAGTCTATAGTTCAGACTATTGTCCAGACTACATTCTAACCTAGAGTCCAGACTATAGTCAAATGTATATTCCACACTATAATCTAGTCTATAGTCCAGACTATAGTCTAGCCTATAGTCCAGACTATAGTCTAGTCTAGTCTATAGTCCAGACTATAGTCTAGACTTCAGATAGAGACCAGATAATAGTCTAGTCTATAGTCCAAACTATAATCTAGTCTATAGTACAGACTATAGTCAAGTTTATGGTGCAGACAATAGTATTGTCTATAATCCAGACTAAAGTCAAGTCTATAGTCCAGCCTACAGTCTAGTCTATAGTCCAGACTTTAGTTTAGTCTATAGTCCAGAATACAGTCTAGTCTATAGTTCAGATTATAGTCTAGCCTATAGTGCAGACTATAGTCTAGTCTATAGTCCAGGCTATAGTCTAGTGTATAGTCTGGTCTATAGTCCAGACTATAGTCTAGTCTATAGTCTAGTCTATAGTCTAGTCTATAGTCCAGACTATAGTTTAGTCTATAGTCCAGACTATAGTCTAGTCTATAGTGCAGACTATAGTGTAGTCTATATAATCCATACTATAGTCTATTCTATAATCCAGACTATACTCTAGTCTTTAATCCAACTATACTCTAGTCTTTAATTCAGACTATAGTCTAGTATTTAGTTCAGACTTTAGTCTAGTCTATAGTCCAGACTATAGTCGAGTCTACAGAACAGACTATAGTCTAGTCTTTTGTTCAGAGTACAGTCTAGTTTATAGTTCAGTCTATAGTCTAGTCTATACTCTAGTCTATACTCTAGTCTATAGTCTAGTCTATAGTCTAGTCTATACTCTAGTCTATAGTCTAGTCTATAGTCTTGTCTATAGTCTAGTCTATAGTCTAGTCTATAGTCTAGTCTATAGTCTAGTCTATAGTCTAGTCTATAGTCTAGTCTATAGTCTAGTCTATAGTCTAGTCTATAGTCCAGGCTATAGTCTAGTCTATTGTCCAGACTATAGTCTAGTCTATAGTCCAGACTATAATCTAGTCTATAGTTCAGTCTATAGTCCAGGCTATAGTCTAGTCTATAGTTCAGTCTATAGTCTAGTCTATAGTCCAGGCTATAGTCTAGTCTATTGTCCAGACTATTGTCTAGCCTATTGTACGACTATACGAGTTAAAAATCCTTATTAAAGTCATGTTTATAGTCCAAACTGTTAATATATCCCCACACCTTTTTGTGTAGAACTCTTTAACAACTTCAAAGACTTTACAGTAGTAATTTGAAAAACAAAAAAACATGTTATAATTAATAATATTTAATCGCTTAATAAATACAAAAGATGAGCGAAAAACTTTGGGGTACGTGTAAATATAAATGCAATTTTAAGCTTTTATTGTTTGGAATAATAAAAATAGATCTTTTACTTAAAACAAAGTCAGTTTTCAGGGATATATTAGCAGCAGCAACACACTTGCTAGAAAACTAATAACCACCCTACAAAGATATGTATGTATGTATGTATATTCGAAATCTGTTTTACTTGAAATTGAAAATTTCATTATAAATAAATGGATGTGTTTTTATAAGTTTGAGTGCCTTTAATAGGATTAAATAAATTTTTTTATTTATACTTTTGTTGGGAGATAAAAGGATATAATTTTCAAATTAACTTGACATTGAGTCAAAAAGTTAAGCAACAATTTAGGAAATTTTTAACACAAACACAAATAGAATTTAATTAAAATTTTCATTAATATCTTCTTTTTTCTCCCACAGGCATGCATCGTAAATCAATCGAGGCCCAACATACCCTGAATAACGATTCGGGTGTTAGTGATCAAGAGGAGGCTGAATTGGAATCTTCGGGATCAAAATCGAATGAGGAGTTACAGCAACAACGTCAATTATCATCTTCAAATGAATCCCTAAATGTTGTTAGTCCCACTCCAACAAATCTACAACATTCTTTATTATCCCCCGCCTCAACTCCTACCGCCACCTCAACATCTTCGGCTTCTCCACATATTGATTTGAGTTCACCCTCTCCTAATACCCAACAAATGCAACAATATTTCTCCAATACATCACCCCAACAATATGCAGCTACACAGAGTTTAGCACATTTGCCACCACCCGCCGCTTTACCAGCTCTTAATAGTTCATCAGGTTCTGGAGTTGTTGCTGCCCCACCACCCTCTTACCATCCCCTTTTGGATGCTGCCAATGCTAGTGCATGTGCTGGTGCGGCCAGTACCAAAGATTTTCATATGATTATGAATACCGCTGTGGCTGCAGCTGCTGCGGTGGCCGCTCACACCAATGCTGGTGATTTATATGGCACGGGGTTGGTTCAAGATCCCGATACATTTAGGTAAGTTAATGTTAAGTCATTTTCCCTACTATAAAAGGTACCTCATACATCTGGGAAACTTTTTTGGGTTCTAATATGGACCCATGTTGGCCATGCTTTACACTATGATATCTGGTTATATAAAACGCAAGTAATAACAAAATTTATGCTAAATCAAAAAGTGTATAACTGTGGCCACTTATATGAAGGCCACCTATAAATAGATCGTCTGATAAATAACATGCGCACATACCTACGCATCACTTATCAAAACTTTTGAATGAAACCCATTAGGAAGTTAGAAAGTTTTTGCTGAAGTTGTAGTTACTAAACCATCATTGACTAAATTGCCAAAAACAGTTCAATTAAAAAATGTGTGTTATCACATTAAAAAACAAATTGATAAAAGCTATTTTTTATTTTCCAAAATATTTTTGGTATAAATACCCGACAAATTTAACCAACTATCAACAAATAGTTCAGTTCCTTTGACTACCACAGAGACTAAAACAAAATCAATAATGAAATCTGGTAAATATTTAACTTCCACATTTTTAGTTTAATAATTGTAATAAATCGTTATTTTCCAGTTATGTTTCTCGCCATTTTGGCTTTCGCCATTGCCTGCGTTTTGGCCTGTGATCCCGATAGCAACAATCAACCCGAATGTACTGCCAAAAATGTAAATGTACCCGTTCGTAACTTCTGGGATCCCACTCACTATTGGTTGTGTAAATCTGCTGGTGCCACTGCTGAATCTGTACGTTGTCCCGATGCTGAAGGTTTCGATTCAGCTAAGGGTGCTTGCGTACCCTTCAATCAATGGAAATGGACTGAACCCTGCCCATCTGCTTAAAAATAATGAAATGTTTTTAAAATAAAGTAAATACTATTTTTAATCTAAAATTATGGACCCGTTTTTATGAAATCGTAATTATTTATATTTAAAAACAGCACGACCTTTGAACCCAGTTTAGAATTTAGTTGAGTCTCTTGATATCCTCTAATATTTTTTTGAAAACTCAATCTGAGAAATAATGTCTGTATGTATTATAGTCAAGCCTATAGTATGGAATATAGTTCAGTCTATTACCTGAACAATAGTCTAGTATATGGTCTGGACTATAATTTTATCTGTAATAAGTATAGACTATCTTTAGTTTGGAGTATAGTCTGGTTTTAGTCTGATATATAGCGCTAAGGCCTATATTATAGGCTAAGGCCTGTATTATATTCTAGCATATAGTTTCAAATATAGTTTAGACTATAGTTTGAACAATACTTAGGACTATATTCTATAGTTTAGACTACAATCAAATTTAATAGTCCGGACTATGGACTAGTCTATGGTCTGAAATAGTCTATAGACTGGACTATATTCTAGTCTATATATAGTTCAGGGTCTAGTCTTAACAATAGCCTGTACTTCAGTTCAGTTTATAGTTGTGCATTATGCATTACTTTATAGTCTAATCTGGACTATAGACTACACTATGTTCCAAATTATTGACTAGACTATAATACAAACTATTACTCAGACTGTAGTCTATGCTATAGTCCAAAATATGAACTAGTGTATAGTTCGGAATTAAGTCTAGAATATCGTCCAGACTTTAGACTGGAATATAGACTCAACTATAGTCTTGACTTTAGAATCAGCAATAGTCTGATCTAAAGCCTCTGCCATAGTCTTAACTTAAATCTAAATCAAATACTAGATTATATACTATACTGTGGATACAACTATAGTCTAGATCATGGACTCATTTCATGACTATGCTATAGTCTTAACTAAAATCTAAACCAAATACTGCATTATATACTATGGACTTAACTATGGACTTAATTATAGTCTGGACTATTGACTCAACTATAGTTTGGACTATTGACTCAACAATAATGTGGACTATAGACTCAACAATAATGTGGACTATAGACTCAACTATAGTCTGGACTATTGACCAAGCAATATTCTGGACTATTGACTATTCTATAGTCTGGACTATAGACTCAACTATAGTCTGGAGTATACATAGACTCAACTATAGTCCGGTCTATAAACTCAACTATAGTCTGGTCTTTAGATTCAACAATAGTCTGGCTAAAATTTAAACTATACCCTAGAATAACCTATTGTTTAAACTGGCCTATTGCTAAAAAAGGCTAGACTATAGAAAAGGCTAAACTATAAGCCAATCACTATAGTCTAGATTATTAACTAGACTATACTCCAAACCATAGACTAGTTTATAGTCCAGGCTACAGACTATAGTCCAAAAGTATAGACAAAGCAATTGTTTAGACTGTAGCCAGACTAAGACCAGATTATATACTAGACTATAGTGCTATTGACTAAACTATAGTCTAAGCAATAGGCTAGATTATACTACAAATTTTAGTCTAGAATATTCAGGCTCTAGACTAATATATAACTCAAAAATATAGACTAAACTATAGTCTACACCTAGATTAGACCCTAGTTCAAACTATAATCTTAACTGTAATCCATATTATAGACCATATCAACCTACATATACTAACTTAAGTCCAAACTTTATACTAGAATATATTCCAGACTGTGAACTATGCTCTAGTCCACACTATAGACTATACTATAGACCAGACAAATGTTCAGACGATTATATAGACTATATTCTATAGTATATATAATTTCTTAAAATTTTGTTATTATTTTGTTCTAACGATATATTAAAAGATTTCAATCAAAAAAATTAATTTTATTAAATTTAAGTTTCCACTTTCCATAGTTTTAGATTACCAAAGATTTTTTTATTCCTTTGCATCAGGTGGGCAAGGATCAGTCCATTTCCATTCTTTGAAGGGTACACAAGTACCCTTATCTGAATCGAAACCTTGAGCATCGGGACATTTTACAGATTCAGCATCGGAACCAGCACTTTTACACAACCAATAGTGAGTGGGATCCCAAAAGTTACGAACGGATGCATTTACATTTTCGTCGGTACATTCAGGCTTATTGTTGCCTTCGGGTTTACAGGACAATATGCTGGCAATAGCAATGGCTAATATAGCAAAAAAGATAACTGGAAAATAAGTAAAAATATATATGTATTAGATTTCGGTGTAGTATTAATAGATTATAAGATTATATTGTCTAATATTTACAAGATTTCATTTTTGACGTTGTTATGTTTTTAAGTTTCTGTACAAGTTAACGGTACTTTTTCAAATTTATCTGGCATTTATATCAAAATTATAACTATTTGCTATTATTCACATCAAATGTACCATTGCAAATGAATGTAATAGAAAATAATATCAATAGTCATGGGTTCAAGCGATTCGATGCAGCTATAGTTGTTAAAACTATTTCGAAACAAGATGTTAGGTTTTCCATTAAAGTGCTAGTGAAGTAACAGCTATCAGTCGATAATGGGGTTCGTTCCTATTTTCGGCCTAATCTCACATTTTATATCGTTTTCATTATTATATGGCTCGATTTTGTTACATTTATTTAAGTTTTGAAAATCGGTACGTAATTCATGTGAAAAGTTTTAAAAACTGATTTAAACTAACTCGCGTAAATTTCAACGTACCTATATTTATACATACCTATGTGCATATGTATGTGTATACTGTGATCAAGTCTCACCAACCATGATAATATCTTAAAAGTTACATTAAGAATTTTATGTAAAACAATATAACATTAATTAACGTTATCAAAATTTTTACACAGTTTACAAATTCTACGAAAAATATGAAATTTACAAAATTTTTTACATATTTTTGTAGTAAAAATGTGGTATGTACATGTTTAGCAGAGCTCTAAAGTAAATGAAAAGTAATTCAAAATAGTCAAAAGTGAAATTCAGTAGGTGGCCCTATCCCGAAATTCTTTCCATTTGTTAGTTTTATGTTGAAGTGGGAGTGCCTTTTATAGGGTCTTACATCAATTGAGAATCAATCTCTACTGAAGGAGAAACAAATCTTGTTTTTAAATAATACCGACTTTCGATAGATATCGGCTTGTATGTGCTGGGTAAGACTATAGTCTGGAACATAGAATATATTATAATCTTGACTATAGAATAGACTATAGTCTGGAATATAGAATAGACTATAATCTGGACTATAGAATAGACTATTGTCTGGACTATAGAATAGACTAAAGTCTGAACTATAGAATAAACTATAGTCTAGACTATAGAATAGACAATAGTCTGGACTATAGAATAGACTATAGTCTGGACTATAGAATAGACTATTGTCTGGACTATAGAATAGACTATTGTCTGGACTATAGAAAAGACTATAGTATGGACTATAGAATAGACTATAGTCTGGACTACAGACTAGACTATAGTCTGGACTACAGATTAGACTATAGTCTGGACTATAGATTAGACTATTGTCTGGACTATAGATTAGACTAGCTTGGACTATAGAATTGATTATAGTCTGGACTATAGAATTGATTACAGTCTCGACTCTAGAATGGACTATAGCCTATATAGAATGGAATAAACTATAGTCTGGAGTATAGAATAGAATATAGTCTGGACTATAGAGTAGACTATAGTCTGGACTATAGAATATACTATAGTCTGGTCTATAGAATAAACTATAGTCTGGAATATAGAACAGACTATAGTCTGGACTAGAGAATAGAGTATAGTCTGCGCTATAGAATAGACTATAGTCTGAACTATAGAATTGACTATAGTCTGGACCATAGAATTTACTATAGTCTGGACTATAGTCTTGACTATAGAATTGACTACAGTCAATTATTCTGGACAATAGAATTGACTACAGTCTCGACTCTAAAATAGACTACAGTCTATATAGATTAGAATAGACTATAGTTTGGACTATAGAATAGACTATTGTCTGGACTATAGAATATACTATAATCTGGACTATAGAATAGACTATAGTCTGGAATATAGAATAGGCTACAGTCTGGACTATAAAATAGGCCATAGTCTGGCTTATAGAATAGTCTAAAGTCTGGACTATAGAATAGACTATAGCCTTTACTATAGAGTAGATTATAGCCAGGACTATAGAATTGACTATAGTCTGGACTACAGGCTAGACTATAGTGTGTACTATAGACTAGACTATAGCCTGGACTATAAAAAAGAATATAGTCTGAACTACAGAATAGTATATAGTCTGGACTATTGAATAGTCTATAGTGTGGACTATAGAATAGGCTATACTATAGTCCAGTCTACAGATTATGGAATGAACTATAGTCTGAACTATAGAAAAGTCTATAGTCTGGACTATAGAATAGAATATAGTTTGGGCTATAAAATATACTGTAATCTGGACTATAGAATAGGCTAAGTCTTCACTATAGAATATACTATAGTTTGGACTGTAGAATACTATACTACTATAGCCTGGACTATAGAATAGACTATAGCCTGGACTATAGAATTGATTATAGTCTGGACTATATGTCCTTTACTATAGAATAGATTATAGCCAGGACTATAGAATTGATTATAGTTTGGACTACGAGCTAGACTATAGTGTGTACTATAGACCAGACTATAGCCTGGACTATAGAAAAGAATATAGTCTGAACTACAGAATAGTATATAGTCTGGACTATTGAATAGTCTATAGTTTGGGCTATGGAATAGGCTATACTATAGTCCAGTCTACAGATTATGGAATGAACTATAGTCTGGACTATAGAATAGAATATAGTTTGGACATCAAAATATACTATAATCTGGACTATAGAATAGGCTAAGTCTAGACTATATAATATACTATAGTTTGGACTGTAGAATAGGCTATAGCCTAGACTATAGAATTGACTATAGTCTGGACTATAGAATTGGCTACAGTCTCGTTTCTAGAATGGACTATAGCCTATATAGAATAGAATAAATTATAGTCTGGAGTATAGAATAGAATATAGTCTGGACTGTAGAGTAGACTATAGTCTGGACTATAGAATATATTATAGTCTGGTCTATAGAATAATAGTCTGGAATATAGAATAGAACATAGTCTGGACTATAGAGTAGATTATAGTCTGGACTAGAGAATAGAATATAGTCTGCGCTATAGAATAGACTATAGTCTGGACTATAGAATTGACTATAGTCTGGACCATAAAATTGACTATAGTCTGGACTATAGTCTTGACTATAGAATTGACTACAGTCTCGACTCTAGAATAGATTATAGAGTAGACTTTAGTCCGGACTATAGAAATGACTATAGTCAATTATTCTGGACTATAGAATTGACTACAGTCTCGACTCTAAAATAGACTGTAGTCTATATAGATTAGAATAGACTATAGTCTGGACTATAGAATAGACTATAATCTGAACTATAGAATAGACTATAGTCTGGAATATAGAATAGGCTATAGTGTGGACTATAGAATAGGCTATAGTCTCCACTCTAGAATATACTATAGTCTATATAGAATAGAACAGACTGTAGTCTGGATTATAGTAGTATATTCTAGTCTGGACTGTAGAATAGACTATAGTCTGGACTATAGAGTAGACTATAGTCTGGATTATAGAATAGACTATAGTCTTGATTGTAGAGTATTTTTTAGTCTGGAGTATAGAGTAGACTTTAGTTTGGAGTATAGAATAGACTATAGTCTAGACTAGATTATAGTCGGGACTATAGAACAGTATGGACTATAGAATAGACTAAAGTTTTGGCTATAGAATTAGACTATAGTCCGGAATATAGATTAGATTTTAAAACCTTGAAATTTTTAATTTATTTAAATCGTTTCAAATTAAATTCTAACTAAAATTAATACTAGATTAATATGGTACTCAAGATTTAGATCTAAAAATTTCACTTTAAAAAGCGATAACAGCAATTTTTAATTATTTATTGTTAACAAATATTTTATGAATCAATTTATTTTATAATAATAAAATGATAAACACTGATAAATATATAAAATATATATACATACATTGGTATATACATATGTATTTGTTTTGATTCATTAATATTTTATCTCTAGGTCGCAATCTCTCGAGTAAAAAGACAAGTTCCTTAAAAAATAAACATTGAAACTGCGGCACTTTTGCACTCAATTATCTTTTTATCAATTTTTATATATTTAATTATAATATCAGAAATAAAAATAAAATATTTTTGTAAAACTCACACAATTATAAATTGCAACATAAAAAACAATTAATATTTTCAATTAAAACATATTAGTTAAAAACAATTGATAAAAAAAATATTTTTTCTAACAAAGAATTTTTTCTTAACTGTGAGTCAGCAGGAAAATAATCAAGAAAATAAAAATCGGCAAACATTTTTAAAATTTGAATTTCTTATATAAACCGCAAGAAAAAGAGAAATTTTAGAAAGTAATTAATTGGCTTTTACCACAACAACTACTAAATTAATAATGAAATTCAGTAAGTAAAATTATATAATTTTTCCAAAAAAAAAAGTCCTAATTATTGTTTTATTAAATTTTAAACAGTTGTCTGTTTAACTATCTTGGCTGTTGCCATTGCCTGCGTCTCGGCTTGTGATCCTGATGGCGATAACAAACCCGAATGCAATACCAGAAACGTTAATGTACCAACTCGTAACACCTGGGATCCCACCCATTTCTGGTTGTGCTCATCGGCCGGTGCTGAAGCCGAAAGCAAACCATGCCCAATCGGTGAAGGTTTCGATGCAACAAAGGGTGCTTGTGTAGAATGGAGTGAATGGAAATGGACAAATCCTTGCCCTGAAAATGAATCTAACTAAATCTGAACTTTTTTTAAATATTGAAAAGCAAAATAAACTCTATTCAGATGAATTGATTTCAAGAAAAAATGTGTCAATATTCAAACCATCGTTCTAAATTCAACTATAGTTCAGATAGAATATATATTCGACCAGACTATAGACTCAACATTATTATGGAATATTACTTCAACTATAGTATAGATTATAGACCCAGTATAATCTGTATAACAGGCTCCACTATATTCTAAATTATAGATTTGACCATATTTTGTAATATAACTTCGATACTGTACTACAGACACGACTAAAGTATTTACTATTAAATCGAGTATAGAATTGACTGTAGTCTGAACTGTAGACTATAATCTGAACTATAAATCCTACTATAGTTAGGACTATAAACCCGACTGAAATCTGAACAAAAGATCCGAATACAATCTGAACTATAGAACCAACTATATTATGGAATATAAACCTGACTATGGCCTAAATTATAGAGCCGATAATATTGTGGACTATAGACTCAACTATACTCGGGATTACAGTTTGGACTATATACGCGACTGTAGACTGGACTGTATAGACCTTACTATAGTCTTTATTATAGACCCAATTAACGTCGAATATAACCTAATCTATAGACTATGGTCTGGACTATTGACCCTACTTCCCGACCTTTCTACAGTTAGGAGTATAGACCCGAATATTGGTTGGACTATGAACAAGACTGTAGACCCGACTGTAGTCTGGAGTTTAGACCCGACTATATAGATGGAACTATAGATCCGACTATTGATCCATCTATAGTGTGGGCGATAGACTCAAATATGCTATGGATTATAGTTTGGACTATAATGTAGACTATAGACCCGATTATAGTCTGCATTATGTATATTCACGAATACAACCTAAACTTTACTATTGATCCTACTATATTTTGGATTGTAGACCCAACTATCGTCTGTACTATAGACACGACTACAGTCTGGAATACATACCAGACCCGATTTTAGTTTGGATTAAATTCCCGAATATAACCTAATCTATAGACTATGGTCTGGACTATTGGCCGTACTATTGTTTGGACTATAAACAATACTGTAGACCCGATTCTACTCAGTACTATAGACCCAACAATAGTCTGGAATATAGACGCGACTATAGTTTGGACTATAGAATATAGAGTCGACTACAGTATTGAGTAGCGTCAGGTTCCACTATATTCTCAACTATAGATTTGACTATATTTTGTAATATAACTTCGATAACCGTCTGTACTACAGACACGACTAAAGTCTTTACTATTTAATCAAGTATATAATTGACTATAGAATCAACTTCATTCTATACTATAGACCCGAAAATAGTCTGGACTATAGAACCGACAATAGTGTGGACGATGGACTCAACTATGCTTTTGGTTATAGTTTGGACTATAATGTTTACTATAGACCCGATTATAGTCTGGATTATATTGCCGAATACAACCTAAAATTAACTATTGACCCTACTATAGTTTGGACCACTTTTTGGACTATGAACAAGATTTTAGACCCAAATATAGTCTGTACTATAGGCACGACTATAGTCTGGAATATATACCCGACTACAGTTAGCATTATAGATCTTAACTATAGTCGGACTATAGACCCGATTATAGCTTGGATTAAATTCCCTAATATAACCTACGCTATAAACTATGGTCTGGACTTTTGGCCCTACCATTGTTTGGACTATGAACAATACTGTTGACCGGATTATACTCAGTACTATAGACCTAACTATAGTCTGGAATATAGACGCGACTATAGTCTGGACTATATAGGAGTAGTCAAGAGTATAGAAAGAACTAAAGACCTATATATATAAAGCACTATAGACTCGAGTATACCTTTTTAACAACAAACGATATTGTTATTCTAATTTAAAATTCGATTTTCATTTATTTGCAAAGTTTTCAAAAAATTGTCCTTATTTTTAAGCAGATGGGCAAGGTTCAGTCCATTTCCATTGATCGAAAGGTACGCAAGCACCCTTAGCTGAGTCGAAACCTTCAGCATCGGGACAACGTACAGATTCAGCAGCGGCACCAGCAGATTTACACAACCAATAGTGAGTGGGATCCCAGAAGTTACGAACGGGTACATTTAAATTTTTGGCGGTACATTCGGGTTGATTATTGCCATCGGGATCACAGGCCAAAACGCAGGCAATGGCAAAAGCCAATATAGCGAAAAAGATAACTGAAAAGAGATATACATTTTTATTAGATTTGTTGTAATTAATAGACACGCACACTAATATAACTATGTTCAAGTTTTTTTTCTATAACAATTTCTTTCTATTTACCAGATTTCATGTTTATGTTTGTTATTAGTAGCGTCTGTAGTACTCTGTAGTATCTATGTACTTGCTGAATTGTTTCAGTTTTCTGTAGTATTTATACTAACTTTTTTTAGTGGAGCTCACCTTTTTTTGCTCAAAATATTTGCAAAAAAATTGTTATCAATATGTATTTTTTAATAGTTGATAACACCAATGTTTAATTGAACTTTATTTGAAAATGTGAAAATTTAGTGGCAATTTTTAACAACGATTTTGGCAAACTACATTTTCAGTGAATACTTCCTGACTTCCTAAGGGGTCTTCATTCAAAAGTTGTTCTAGTTTTTGATTGATAAATGATAATGAATGTACTAGGTCATTTCTTCAAAAGGCCTATCAATATAATATTTGTTTAACATTTTTAAAAATTAATACATACTATTTTTAGAATTCACAGAGTATAGACATAACTTTATTCCAGACTATAGACTACACTTTAGTCCAGACTATAAGCTAGAGACTAGTCGCTTGACTATAGTATATAGTCTGTATAATAGACTACAGAAAAGACTATATAACAGACTATACAAAAGAATATAGTCCAGACTATATAATGGACTAAAGTCCAGACTAAATAATAGACTATAGTCCATAGACCATAGAAAGGACTACAGAGTCTATTATATTTGAGATTTTAGATTAAACTATAGTTCAAACTATAGAATAGACTATAGTCCAGATCATAGACTAGATTATAATCCAGAACATAGATTCGACTATAGTCCAGACTATAGGCCAGAGACTAGTCGCTTGACAATAGTATATAGTCTGTATAATAGACTACAAAAAAGACTATAGTCCAGACTATATAAAATACTGTACAAAAGAATATAAATAAAATACAACACTATAGTTCATAGACCATAGAAAGGACTACAGAATAGAGTATATTTCAGATTTTATAATATACTACAGTGCAAACTATAGAATAAACTTTAGTCCAGACTAATGATTAGACAATAGAGTCCAGACCATAGACTTGATTATAATCCAGAACATAGATTCAACTATAGCCCAGACCATAGAAAAGAGTTTAATCCAAGCTATAGAATAACTAAAATTCATACAGTAGGATAGACTATATACGAGATTATATACTAGAGTATAGTCCACACTATAGAATAGACTATAATCCAAGACTATAGACTAGACCATAGTCCAGAATATAAAATAGACTATAGTCCAGACTATAGAATATACTATAGTCCACAATTATAGTCGAGACTATAGACTAGACTAGACTAAGTCCAGACTGCAAAATAGACTATAGTTCAGACTATATTCCATACTATAGTTCAGTCTATAGAATATATGATATCCAGTCTTTGGAATAGACTATAGTCTAGACTATAGACTAGATTTTAGTGTAAAACCATAAACTACATTGTAGAATATACTATAGCATAGACCATACTATTGTCTATAATCTAGACTTTTGTCTAGTCTAACCTGTCTCATCTATATACTATTCTATAGTTTGGACTATAGTCTAAATTATATTCAACTCTATTCCAAATCATAAAGTAAACTATAGACCATATACTAGTCTAGATTATAGTCCAAACTTTAAACAACATTATTTTATTTAAACCTATAGACTATAGTCCAAACTTTGTACTAGGCTATAGACCAGACTGTAACTAAACTATATTCCAAACTATAGAATAGATTATAGGAGAGATTATTGTTTAGACTATAGATTAAGCTATAGTCCAGAATATAGACTATACTATAGTATAGACTAGACTATAGACAAGACCATAGTCAAGACTTTAGACTATAGTCCACACTACAGCAAAAACTTTTCAAAATAAAACATTTTTATTTTGCAATTGAAATTAACATTTATTCGTTATTCACAATAGTAAGGTATGTATTTAATTTTAAGCGGCAGCCTCTGGACATGGTTCAGTCCATTGCCATTCATCAAACGAAACACAAGCACCCTTAGCAGAATCGAAACCTTGTGAATCGGGACAACGTACCGACTCAGCAGCAGCACCGGCCGATTTACACACCCAATAATGAGTGGGATCCCAGAAGTTACGTATGGGTACATTTAAATTACTGCTTGTACATTCTGGCTGATTATTGCCATCAGGATCACAGGCCAAAACACCGGCAACAGCAAGGACCAAAATAGTGAAAAGGATTACTAAAGAAAAAAACAAATTTAAGTTTTTGTTAGGTTACGGAAAACGTAGTTTACTTACCAGTTTTCATGTTGTGCAAATTTTGAGGTGTGTACCTTAGTTTCAATGCTACTAGGGAAGTTATAGATGTTTTCTAGTTTAGTTTAGTATTTATATAAAAAGTTGTAAAATTACTTCCATTACAATTTGAAGTTTACTAATATGTTTTGAAAAACATGTGTTTTCAATTTGTTAACACAATTGTAAAATTGAACTACATATTTATTAACAAAATTGCTCAATTAAAGTCCTAAAATGCATTTGCTCTTCATATCGAAACATCAAGGAAAAATTTATTTTTAATTGCATTCACTTATATATAACATCGGAATAAAATTTATAATAGTTGTTCATAAAACTTATTTCAAATGAATTTTGTATGATTTAGGATTCAAGCTCCAATTTCTCCCTATTTTCGCCAATCGTTACCTAGTTAGTAAGTTAGTTAGTTAGTTAGTTAGTTAGTTAGTTAGTTAGTTAGTTAGTTAGTTAGTTAGTTAGTTAGTTAGTTAGTAGTTAGTTAGTAGTTAGTTAGTTAGTTAGTTAGTTAGTTAGTTAGTTAGTTAGTTAGTTAGTTAGTTAGTTAGTTAGTTAGTTAGTTAGTAGTTAGTTAGTTAGTTAGTTAGTTAGTTAGTAGTTCGTTAGTTAGTTAGTTAGTTAGTTAGTTTAGTTAGTTAGTTAGTTAGTTAGTAGTTAGTTAGTTCGTTAGTAGTTAGTTAGTTAGTTAGTTTAGTTAGTTAGTTAGTTAGTTAGTTAGTTAGTTAGTTAGTTAGTTAGTTAGTTAGTTAGTTAGTTAGTTAGTTAGTTAGTAGTTAGTTAGTTAGTTAGTTAGTTAGTAGTTAGTTAGTTGTTAGTAGTTAGTTAGTTAGTAGTTAGTAGTTAGTTAGTTAGTTAGTTAGTTAGTTAGTTAGTTAGTTAGTTAGTTAGTTAGTAGTTAGTTAGTTAGTTAGTTTAGTTAGTTAGTTAGTTAGTTAGTTAGTTAGTTAGTTAGTTAGTTTAGTTAGTAGTTAGTTAGTTAGTTAGTTAGTTAGTTAGTTAGTTAGTTAGTTAGTTAGTTAGTTAGTTAGTAGTTAGTTAGTTAGTTAGTTAGTTAGTTAGTTAGTTAGTAGTTAGTTAGTTAGTTAGTAGTTAGTTAGTTAGTTAGTAGTTAGTTAGTTAGTTAGTTAGTTAGTTAGTTTAGTTAGTTAGTAGTTAGTTAGTTAGTTAGTTAGTTAGTTAGTTAGTAGTTAGTTAGTTAGTAGTAGTTAGTTAGTTAGTTAGTTAGTAGTTAGTTAGTTAGTAGTTAGTTAGTTAGTAGTTAGTTAGTTAGTTAGTTAGTTAGTTAGTTAGTTAGTTAGTTAGTTAGTTAGTTAGTTAGTTAGTTAGTTAGTTAGTTAGTAGTTAGTTAGTTAGTTAGTTAGTAGTTAGTTAGTTAGTTAGTTAGTTAGTTAGTTAGTTAGTTAGTTAGTTAGTTAGTTAGTTAGTTAGTTAGTAGTTAGTTAGTTAGTAGTTAGTTAGTTAGTAGTTAGTTAGTTAGTTAGTTAGTTAGTTAGTTAGTTAGTTAGTTAGTTAGTTAGTTAGTAGTTAGTTAGTTAGTTAGTTAGTTAGTTAGTTAGTTAGTAGTTAGTTAGTTAGTAGTTAGTTAGTTAGTTAGTAGTTAGTTAGTTAGTTAGTTAGTTAGTTAGTTAGTTAGTTAGTTAGTTAGTTAGTTAGTTAGTTAGTTAGTTAGTTAGTTAGTTAGTTAGTTAGTTAGTTAGTTAGTTAGTTAGTTAGTTAGTTAGTTAGTTAGTTAGTTAGTTAGTTAGTAGTTAGTTAGTTAGTTAGTTAGTTAGTTAGTTAGTTAGTTAGTTAGTTAGTTAGTTAGTTAGTTAGTTAGTTAGTTAGTAGTTAGTTAGTTAGTTAGTTAGTTAGTTAGTTAGTTAGTTAGTAGTTAGTTAGTTAGTTAGTTAGTTAGTTAGTTAGTTAGTTAGTTAGTTAGTTAGTTAGTTAGTTAGTTAGTTAGTTAGTTAGTTAGTTAGTTAGTTAGTTAGTTAGTTAGTAGTTAGTTAGTTAGTTAGTAGTAGTTAGTTAGTAGTTAGTTAGTTAGTTAGTTAGTTAGTTAGTTAGTTAGTTAGTTAGTTAGTTAGTTAGTTAGTAGTTAGTTAGTTAGTAGTTAGTTAGTTAGTTAGTTAGTTAGTTAGTTAGTTAGTTAGTTAGTTAGTTAGTTAGTTAGTTAGTTAGTTAGTTAGTTAGTTAGTTAGTTAGTTAGTTAGTTAGTTAGTTAGTTAGTTAGTTAGTTAGTTAGTTAGTTAGTTAGTTAGTTAGTTAGTTAGTAGTTAGTTAGTTAGTTAGTTAGTTAGTTAGTTAGTTAGTTAGTTAGTTAGTTAGTTAGTTAGTTAGTTAGTTAGTTAGTTAGTTAGTTAGTTAGTAGTTAGTTAGTTAGTTAGTTAGTTAGTTAGTTAGTTAGTTAGTTAGTTAGTTAGTAGTAGTTAGTTAGTTAGTTAGTTAGTTAGTAGTTAGTTAGTTAGTTAGTTAGTTAGTTAGTTAGTTAGTTAGTTAGTTAGTTAGTTAGTTAGTTAGTTAGTTAGTTAGTTAGTTAGTTAGTTAGTTAGTTAGTTAGTAGTTAGTTAGTTAGTTAGTAGTTAGTTAGAACAGAACAGAACAGACTACAGTCCAGCCTAGCCAATAGGCTCCAGATTATACTTTAGAATAGACAATTCTTTTGACTTTAGTTATTATAGTCCAGACTATTGAATAGACTATGGTCCAGACTATTGAGTAGACTATGGTAGGTAGGTAGCTTGATAGGATGATGTACACTACATAAAATCCGAAGAAATACACCGAGGCCACTATCGGACCTGTTGTGTGCTCCTTATCATGAAAAAAAGGAGGGAAATGAATGAATTATTTTTCAGTGTTCATAAACACAGTCCAATCAGTGTTAGTCAGGAATGTTATTTCCGGAATAACATCACCTCCAATATACTTGGATCCAAGGCGAATAGACTATAATGTGAAGTCATTTCATTTTGCGGCGAATACATGAAATTTTGTATATATGTAGTTTGACAGCGTCGGGTTTGAGAGAGAATTTTTTTTATATTGAGTTTGACAACTTCGGGCTAAATTTCCATGGACAAAAAAACAATCAGCTGTTGAAATGACTTCACCATAGGATCTTCGTGGTTCTACCCACTGTTTCATTATTCCAAGAGGCCTTATGGGATTCTCTCACCCATATTTTTAGTTCAGCTTTTGTTGCGTCGAATGGTTTCGAGTATACTATAGTCCTGACTATAGAATACACTATAGTCCAGATCATAGAATAGGCTGTAGTCCATACTATAGAATAGACTAAACTAAAGTAAAGGCTTTAAACATCACAGCAGATAAACCTTTATTATATATAGACTATAGCCTTTATTATAGGTAAAACTATATTCCAAACTAAGCAGTAGACTGATGACCATACTGCAACTAACCTATAGTGAGTGAATATAAGACTGTAGTCCAGATAATTGACTGAATTATCATTTACACTATAAACTAGACTTTAGTCCGAATTTTAGATTAGACTATGGTACAGACTATATTACTTATATTTCTAAGAATACAATTTTTTATTGCCTAAAATTGGGAAACTGACTAACTTTCAATTTAGGTCAAAAGTCCTACTAATAAACTTCTAATTAAACCTCGATTTTAAACCTTAAGGAAACAATTAGAATTTCATAAAAAACGTTTTTTCATTTATTTGTCTTCAACAAATTATCATTATATTTAAGCAGAAGGGCAAGGTTCTGTCCATTTCCATTGATCGAAGGGTACGCAAGCACCCTTGGCTGAATCGAAACCTTCAGCATCGGGACAACGTACAGATTCAGCAGCGGCACCAGCAGATTTACACAACCAATAGTGAGTGGGATCCCAGAAGTTACGAACGGGTACATTTAAATTTTTACTGGTACATTCAGGTTGATTGTTGCCATCGGGATCGCAGGCCAAAACGCAGGCAATGGCGAAAGCCAAAATAGCGAAAAAGATAACTGGAAAAATAAGTTAAAATAATGTAAATTGGATGCGATATAACTAAACTTAGTGTGAAGAATTTTGTATTGTTAAATATTTACCAAATTTCATTTTTGATTTTTTTTTGGCTCTGTAGTAGTCAAGGGAACTAGGGTACTTGATAATAATTTGAAAATTTGTCTGCTATTTATATCAAAATTTTATATTTTAGTTTGCAAAATTTGCTACATTTATCTATTTGATAAAAAACAGTTGTTTTAATTAAACTAAATTTGGAAAGTGTTAATGAAAATACTAATGTTTTTATAATAGAATTTAAGAAAAGAGGATCATTTACAAAATAGTTAGAGGCTTATATAGTTAGAGGCTTCAGGTCAAGATGCTATCCATACCCATTGATCAAATGGTACACATTCACCCTTAGCAGAATCGAAACCTTGAGAGTCGGGACAACTTGTCTAGTATTTAGAACAAACATCTTGAAAAATTACATTGTTAAAAGATATCTACTCTTTAAGTTTAAAGTACATTTGTTTTATTTTTTACTCATTGTAACCAGACACTTGCGAAATTTTCATAATTATAGTATTTTTTCGACAAACATTGTCAATTAAAGTCAAAAATACATTTTAAATTGGTTAGAAACTAAAATTTTGAATGAAAGTTTGCAAATCGATAAGATTACTATTAAAATTTTACAAGTGTCTGGTTACAATTAAAGAAAAACTTATATACTTCAGACTCAAGTAATAGATATTTCTAAACAATGTAATTTCACAAAATTTTGATATAAATACCAAACCACACCCGACTATAGCAATAAGTTTTCCATTAACGTTGCATATCAAAGGAAGCACAACACAAATTAAAACAAAATGAAATCGGGTAAGTTAACTTTTCCGATTTTGAATATACATCCCTAACCATTTTCTCCACAGTTATCTTTTTCGCAATTTTGGCTTTAACTTTTGCCTGCGTCTTGGCCTGTGATCCGGATGGCAATAATGAACCTCAATGTTCAAGCAGCAATTTGAATGTACCCATTCGTAACTTCTGGGACCCTACTCGCTACTGGTTATGTACAGCTGCCGGTGCTGCTGCTGAGTCGGTACGTTGTCCCGATTCAGAAGGTTTTGATTCTGCTAAGGGTGCATGTGTACCATTCGACCAATGGGTATGGACCCCACCTTGTCCTGAAGCATCCGCCTAAATATATGATTTGTCAATGATATTGAAAATTAATAAAATCTGATAGAAAATAATAAAGCTTAAAAATGTTATGCATTAGTAAAACATTACCTGTTTCCAAGCACGGAACGAGACTATATACAAGTCCATATTCTAGATTCGACTGGACGAGACTATAGTCTACATTATAGACTATAGTGTACACTACAAACAAGGCTGTTGTCTGGACTTTAGAAAAGGTTAAAGTCTGGTCTATAGACAAGACTAAGTGTGGACTATAGACAAGACTATAGTCTGGACTAAAGACTAGACTACAGTCTGGACTATAGACTAAAATATAGTCTGCACTATAGACTAAAATATAGTCTGGACTATAGACTAGACTATAGTTTGGACTATAAACTAGACTATAGTCTGGACTATAGACAAGACTATAGTCTGGACTATATACAAGACTATAGTTTGGACTATAGACTATAATCTGGACTAAAGACAAGATTATAATTTGAACTATAGGCAAGACTATTGTCTGGATAAGACTATAGTCAGGACTATAGACAAGACTATAGTCTGGACTATAGACAAGAATATAGTCTGGATTATTTACAAGATTATAGTCTGGATTATTTAAAAGATTATAGTCTGGACAATAGACAAAACTATAGTATGGACTATAGGCAAGTTTATAGTCTAGACTATAGACAAGACTATAGTCTGTACTATAGACAAGACTATAGTCCAGACTATAGACAAGACTATAGTCTGAACTATAGAAAAGATTGTAGTCTGAACTATAGAAAAGACTATAGTCTGGACTATATAGTGTAGACTATAGTCTAGACTATAGACAAGATTATAGTCCAGACTGTAGACAAGACTATAGTCTGGATTATAGACAAGACTATAGTCCGGTCTATAAACATGACTATAGCCTAGACCATATACGGGACTACAGTCTGGACTATAGACAGTACTATAGTCTAGACTATAGTCTGGACTATAAATAAAACGATTCTCCAGACTATAGAGAAGACTATAGTCTGGACTACAGAAAAGTCAGGATGAAAAAGAAGACTATTATCTGAACCATAGATAAATTATAGTCTGAACTGTAAACAAGGCTTTAACCTAGACTATAGAAAAAATTATAGACAAGAATATAATCTGGACTAAGATATATCGATCTTCATAATTTTGAAGATCTGAAACTAAGTGAGATTTAAATTATTAAATATGATCATATATGATCATAAGATCATAGATTCTCCATGATCTCTATCATTTTTCTGTTATCTCAAAAAATTTTTGCTCGCCAAGTTCATCAAGTTTTCTATCTTTTTACATATAAAAATACATATTTCTTTTCACCTTGTGCAAAAATGTTACAAATATTTTCCATTAAAATTGCACACAAGTACTCGTGTTACTCATCATTGGCAAAAAATATGTAGTAATTTTTATTAATAGTTCAATTAAAAACGTGTATGTCGTCAAATTGATAACAAACTGAAATAATTAGAGTTGCATTAAATTTACTATTTGATAAAAAAAGTTCATAAAAGTAAAATTCTTTACAACTAAATTAACTGTAAATATGTAATATTTTCTTCACATCTTACTATAAATAGCAATGCACCAAGTGAAGTTACAACAAGTTGCTATTATTCACCAAAGAACCGCGATTTTTATTTCAACAATTAAAGCAAACATGAAGTCTAATAGTAAGTTGTTAGAAAATAGACATTTTGATTCTCGCTTCTATATAACAATTACTGTAACTATTTCCTACTTATTGTAGTCATCTGCTTGACCATCTTGTCATTGGCTGTAGCCGGTGTTTTATCCTGTGATCCTGATGGCAATAATGAACCTCAGTGTTCTAGAAACAATTTAAATATACCCATTCGTAACTTCTGGGACCCCACTCACTACTGGTTGTGTAAATCGGCCGGTGCTTCTGCTGAGTCGGTACGTTGTCCTGATTCTCAAGGTTTCGATTCCGCTAAGGGTGAATGTGTTTCATTCGAAGAATGGAAGTGGGTTGAACCATGTCCAGAAGCCGCTGCTTAATAAATATTATATACTTGTAAAATTTATTAAAAGAAAATAGCCAAATATATATATAGCAGATTTTTCCAGCAGTAATATTATTGGTTTAAATTGTTATTAAACATATACTATAGAAAAGTCTATAGTCCTCGTTATGGAACAATCTAAAGTCAGAACTATAGTCTAAACTATAGACAAGACTATAGTCTGGACCGTAGACAGGACTAGAGAGAGGACTAGGGTATGGTATATGAAGACAAAACTATAGTCTGGTCTGTGAACAAGACCATAGTTTGGACTAGACAAGACTATGGTCTGGACTAAAGACAAAGCTGTAGTCTGGACTATAAACAAGATTATAGTCTATAGTCCAGAATGGACTACATTATGGGCAAGGATATTGTCAGGATTATAAGCCAGATTAAAGTCTGGACTATTGACTATTTTACAGTCCGGACTATAGAACACTCTACAGTCTGGACTATAGAACTGTCTATAGTCCGGACTATAGCTCAGTCTATAGTCTGAACTTTAGTACAGTCTATAATCTGGGCTATAGTACAGTCTATAGTCTGGACTATAGTACAGTCTATAGTCTGGACTATAGTACAGTCTATAGTCTGGACTATAGTACAGTCTATAGTCTGGAATATAGAACAGTCTATAGTCTACACTATAGAACAGTCTATAGTCTAGACTATAGAACAGTCTATAGTCAGCACTATCGAACAGTCTATAGTCTGGACTATACAACAATCTATAGTCTGGACTATAGAACAGTCTATAGTCTGGAATATAGAACAGTCTATAGTATGGACTATAGAACAGTCTATAGTTTAGACTATAGAACAGTATATAGTCTAGACTATAGAACAGTCTATAGTCTGCACTATCGAACAGTCTATAGTCTGGACTATAGAACATTCTATAGTCTGGACTATAGAACATTCTATAGTCTGGACTATAGAACATTCTATAGTCTGGACTAAAGAACAGTCTATAGTCTGGACTATAGAACAGTCTATAGTCTGGACTATCGAACAGTCTAAGTCTGGACTATAGAACATTCTATAGTCTGGACTATAGAACATTCTATAGTCTGGACTATAGAACATTCTATAGTCTGGACTATAGAACAGTCTATAGTCTGGACTAAAGAACAGTCTATAGTCTGGACTATACAACAATCTATAGTCTGGACTATAGAACAGTCTATAGTCTGGACTATAGAACAGTCTATAGTCTGGACTATAGAACAGTATATAGTTTGCACTATAGAACAGTCTATAGTCTGCACTATAGAACAGTCTATAGACTGGACTATAGAACAGTCTATAGACTGGACTATAGAACAGTCTATAGACTGGACTATAGAACAGTCTATAGTCTGGACTATAGTACAGTCTATAGTCTGGACTATAGTACAGTCTATAGTCTGGAATATAGAACAGTCTATAGTCTACACTATAGAACAGTCTATAGTCTAGACTATAGAACAGTCTATAGTCAGCACTATCGAACAGTCTATAGTCTGGACTATAGAACAGTATATAGTTTGCACTATAGAACAGTCTATAGTCTGCACTATAGAACAGTCTATAGACTGGACTATAGAACAGTCTATAGACTGGGCTATAGTACAGTCTATAGTCTGGACTATAGTACAGTCTATAGTCTGGACTATAGTACAGTCTATAGTCTGGACTATAGTACAGTCTATAGTCTGGAATATAGAACAGTCTATAGTCTACACTATAGAACAGTCTAAGTCTGGACTATAGAACATTCTATAGTCTGGACTATAGAACATTCTATAGTCTGGACTAAAGAACAGTCTATAGTCTGGACTATACAACAATCTATAGTCTGGACTATAGAACAGTCTATAGTCTGGAATATAGAACAGTCTATAGTATGGACTATAGAACAGTCTATAGTTTAGACTATAGAACAGTATATAGTCTAGACTATAGAACAGTCTATAGTTAGCACTATCGAACAGTCTATAGTCTGGACTATAGAACATTCTATAGTCTGGACTATAGAACATTCTATAGTCTGGACTATAGAACATTCTATAGTCTGGACTATAGAACATTCTATAGTCTGGACTATAGAACAGTCTATAGTCTGGACTATAGAACAGTCTATAGTCTGGACTATAGAACAGTCTATAGTCTGGACTATAGAACAGTCTATTGTCTGGACTATCGAACAGTCTAAGTCTGGACTATAGAACATTCTATAGTCTGGACTATAGAACATTCTATAGTCTGGACTATAGAACATTCTATAGTCTGGACTATAGAACAGTCTATAGTCTGGACTAAAGAACAGTCTATAGTCTGGAATATAGAACAGTCTATAGTCTGGACTATAGAACAGTATATAGTTTGCACTATAGAACAGTCTATAGTCTGCACTATAGAACAGTCTATAGACTGGACTATAGAACAGTCTATAGACTGGACTATAGAACAGTCTATAGACTGGACTATAGAACAGTCTATAATCTGGACTATAGAACAGTCTATAATCTGGACTATAGAACTGTCTAAAGTCTGGACTATAGAACAGTTTATATTCTGAACTATAGAACAGTCTATAGTCTGAACTATAGAACAGTCTATAGTCTGGACTATAGTACAGTCTATAGTCTGGACTATAGTACAGTCTATAGTCTGGACTATAGAACAGTCTATAGTCTGGACTATAGAACAGTCTATAGTCTGGTCTATAGAATAGTCTATAGTCTGGACTATAGAACAGTCTATAGTCTGGTCTATAGAATAGTCTATAGTCTGGACTATAGAACAGTCTATAGTCTGGACTATAGTACAGTCTATAGTCTGGACTATAGAACAGTCTATAGTCTGGTCTATAGAATAGTCTATAGTCTGGACTATAGAACAGTCTATAGTCTGGTCTATAGAATAGTCTATAGTCTGGACTATAGAACAGTCTATAGTCTGGACTATAGAACAGTCTATAGTCTGGACTATAGAACAGTCTATAGTCTTTACTAGAGAATAGTCTATAGTCTGGACTATAGAATGGTCTATAGTCTGGACTTTAGAACAGTCTATAGTCTGGACTATACAACAGTCTATAGTCCAGACTTTAGGACGGTTTATACATTTTATACCTTTTGAAGTTATCAAGCAAATTTATAAAAGAAAATTTTTTTCTGTTGAAATTTGGTACATTATTTGTTAAATTTTGTTTTCTTCCATTTTCAGAAATAATTCGATTGCCTGCTTACGCGCTAAAGCTCAAGAACATCAAGCTCGTCTATTGAACAGTGGCCTATTTTTACAAGTCCGCTCCTTTGCAGATCTACAGCAGCGGCATCAACAACATTTAAATAAAACCCACAATCATTTACAAAATAATAATAAGAATAGTGATGTAAAAGCATTGATTAAACAGCAAACGGATAAAATTCTAGAAAAAGAAGAAGAGAAGGGAGAGAACATAAAAAACAAAAATGAAATTTAACAGAAGTAAATTTATAAAAAATAATTTTGGATTTTTTTGGTTGTTTGCAAAATAAGGATCTCTAATAAGAAATATATATTGTGAAACCAAGAACACATAAGATGTGTAAAGGGAAATTTTTGAAAATAATTAACAAAAGATTTATACATAAAATAGTGTTAAGAAATTTTTAATAAATAATTTTTAATTAATAAAAGAAAAACGTATTTAAAGAAAAAAAAGTTTATTATTATTATTTATATTATTTTCAAATTTAAGGGAGTAACTGGCGATGAGAGATACATACAGTTTTTAATAAAGATTATTTTAGATTTTTGATTTTGAGATTTTTGATATAAATTTTTTTAAAGAGAAGTATAAATATTTTTTTATAATATATAATACTAATAATATATAAATTTTCGTATTCGGACCAAGTTTTTGATTGCAAATCGAAAATTTTGAAATTTTTATCATATGGCAGCGCTATATGCTCACCAGCACCCTAACATGTGCTAACAAATCATTTAAATGTTGATTCAAAATATTTACCATATGGTAACGCTCTAGTTTCTATGAGCACCTAAAATTATGCTGTAAAATGTGTAAACTGAAACTCACCTCGTCATATGGTGGCAAACTGCGCTTTAACATATCGTCGATAAAACAGTTCAACAACAACATTTATGTAAACACACTATATGTGTAGAAACGCCCTTAACAATTAAAAACACGTCAGTGTTGCATTTTGTAAACAAAAAATTATTTTATTTATTTCACAGACACCGGCATTTCTAGAACAAATTTAATTAAATTATTTAAGGAAAAATGTTAATTTATAAATTACTTATAAGTTCCTTAATGGTAATGGCGTTGGCCTCCTCTCCCGAGGAAGAACAAGGCGTACGCTATGCCAATCGCTGTGAAACTTGCAAAATATTGGCCACTGAACTGCAGGAAAGACTCAAGGAAACTGGCAAATCTCATGATGTTATAGAGATAGGGTAGGTGTTGGAGAAACTAAACATATGTTAGTTTTAATAACTAAAATTCTTATTTAATTAGTTACTCACTGGACGATGTTAAACCCAAGAAACGCACTGAGTACCGACGCAGTGAATTGCGCCTGCTGGAATCTACGGAGAATGTTTGTGATAGAATTTTGGAATATAATCTCCATAAAGAAAGAAGTGATAGTACCCGTTTCGCTAAAGGCATGTCACAGACTTTTAAAACTTTGCATGGCCTGGTAGATAAAGGTGTTAAAGTGGATTTGGGCATTCCTTTAGAATTATGGGATAAACCTCCCGTAGAGGTCACACAAATGAAAAGTCAATGTGAAAATATGCTAGAGGAATATGAAGATGTCATTTCGGATTGGTATTTTAAGCAGCAGGATGAAAAAGATTTAATAGTTCACTTGTGTGAAGAACAAGTATTGGCTGTCGATGATAGAAAATGTCTAAAGGAAATATTGCCAGCAGCTAGTGAAGAAGATGAGGGGCAGGAGGAAAATACGAAAAATACGAAGAAAAAGACTAAGAAAACCAAAGAAGATAAGCAGGAATTGTAATAGAAACTATATTTACTTTCACTATTCCATTTTAAAGTCAATGTAGTAAAAACTATAGAAACATTTCAATTCAACAAATTTCTAGTACCTACATATATCAGTTTACATTAAAACCTTACAAGTTTTTATTTACATTTTGGTTCTTCCTGCCCATATTATTACACGTCACGTATCCTTATTGAAATTTAAGAATTTATTTTAGCTTTAAGTCCTAGAAATCATGTTTGCATTTGTCATCATGTAAATTTTACAAATATCAAATAAATCAATGATAGTAGATTTTAATATTAAGAACTAATCAAATAAAATAATTTAAAATAAAATTATGATCTTGGCTATTTTCATTTCCTTAATAATGAAACAACAATTTTTGAATCGTAGAAGTGTTTAATGCAAAATAATACATTATTTAACACAGCACGATGGAGCAGAATCGAACATTTTCGGAATTGTATTGTCTTGGGACTTCGCATCACCATATTTGACAAGCGAAAGATATATCATTTTCTCATCTAATCTTTTTTTTTCACTGTAGAGTGTAAAACCGCCTTATTTTCACTTTTTACACAGAAACCCTATTCCAAACTCATTCAGAGCCCCCTATATTAACCGTTATTTTGCGGCGAATATTTATAAAATACTAAAATTAATTAATAGCGAAACTACAACTAAAGTGCCAATAATTTCTCACAATTTCTTTTATTTTTCTAATTAAATTACTCTAGTAACGATGTACTTACTAACAAAACTTATACTATTTCTGCCATTATTTTACACGGCACGGGCTCAAGCTGATGTCGATTGTCCGCCACTTACTGATGCCGATAGTCTATCACAGACTCAATTGCTGGAGAGGTTAACACATGGCTGTCGCTATGATCGCCTAGAGAGGCCCATTACTTATACTGAATCGGGCAGTCGTCTGCCGGTCGATGTTTATGTTCGCTGGTATGTTTATTTTATGCAAAATTTAGAGGCCCACGATTTGCAATTTAAGATACATGCCTTATTGCAATTACGCTTTCTGGATCCACGTCTTACTTTTCGTAGAGTGGCACCCAAACGCAAACAACCCATACTGGGTGAAAAACAATTGAGGGATCATTTATGGATGCCTCATATATTCTTGGCCAATGAACGTGATTCCAGCATAATGGGTACGAATGAAAAAGATATCCTAACCTCAATATCACCCGATGGCACCGTTATCATATCGAGTCGCATTAAAGCCACCCTCTACTGTTGGATGAACTTACAAAAGTTCCCCTTTGATGAACAACATTGTTCCACTTACCTAGAAAGTTGGATGTATAATACCTCTGAATTGGTTATACACTGGGAACAGAAACGTCCAATAACTTTTGATCCAGATTTACATTTAACAGAATATGTTTTACAGAAAGCCTGGTCCAATGAAACTGTTATCAATGCTGATCTAAATGATTTACGTCATGGTGCTTTTGCTGGCAATTATAGTTCTTTAAGTTTTACAGTACATCTTACTAGAGAAGTAGGTTTTTATTTAATGGATTATTTTCTACCCTCCATGTTGATTGTGGGCATATCCTGGGTATCGTTTTGGTTGCAAGCGGATCAGGCGCCACCGAGAATTATGTTGGGCACCACAACTATGTTGACGTTTATTACGTTGGCTTCGGCACAGGGTGAGTACTATTGTTTTTTAAGGAAACTAAATAATAAGACTACACTGGAATATGGACAAGATTATAGACTGGACTCTAGTTTAGGCTAGAGTATAGACTTGACTATTGACTAGAATATAGACTAAACTCTAGACTAGACAACACTATACGTTTGACTATAGACGAGATTATAGACGACTATATTCCAATGGGGTATAAAATAGACTGTATTATAGATTATTCCATATAATAGACTATAGAATTGACTAGACTATTGACTAAACTATATACTAGACTATAAATTGTACTCTAGACTTGAATAGACTACACAATAGGCTCTACTATAGTCTCGACTATATACTAGTTAATATACTGTATTATAGATTGTACTACAAAATATACTATAGACTTGGTTGTAGACTAGACTTAAAATTAGACTGCAGACTAGACTTTAGACTGGACTATAAACTAGACTATAGACTAGACTATACACTAGACTATAGACTAGATTATAGACTAGACTATAGACTATACTATACACTAGACTATATACTAGACTATAGACTAGACTATAGACTAGACTATAGACAAGACTATAGAGTACACTATAGACTAGACTATAGACTAGACTATAGACTAGACTATAGACTAGAATATAGACTAAACTATAGACTAGACTATAGACTAGAGTATAGATTAGACTATAGACTATAGATTAGACTGTAGACTAGACTATAGACTAGACTATAGACTAGACTATAGACTAGACAATAGACTAGACTATAGATTAGACTATAGAGTAGACTATAGACTAGACTATAGAACAGATTATAGACTTGACTATAGACTAGACTGTAGACTAAAATATAACTAGATTATAGACTAGACTATAGACTAGACTATAGACTAGAATATAGACTAAACTATAGACTAGACTATAGACTAGAGTATAGATTAGACTATAGACTATAGATTAGACTGTAGACTAGACTATAGACTAGACTATAGACTAGACAATACACTAGACTATAGATTAGACTATAGAGTAGACTATAGACTAGACTATAGAACAGATTATAGACTTGACTATAGACTAGACTGTAGACTAAAATATAACTAGATTATAGACTAGACTATAGACTAGACTATAGACTAGACTATAGACTAGACTATAGACTAGACTATAGACTAGACTATAGACTAGACTATAGACTAGACTATAGACTAGACTATAGACTAGACTATAGACTAGACTATAGACTAGACTATAGACTAGACTATAGACTAGACTATAGACTAGACTATAGACTAGACTATAGGCTAGACTATAGACTAGACTATAGACTAGACTATAGACTAGACTATAGACTAGACTATAGACTAGACTATAGACTAGACTATAGACTAGACTATAGACTAGACTATAGACTAGACTATAGACTAGACTATAGACTAGACTATAGACTAGAGTATAGATTAGACTATAGACTAGAGTATAGATTAGACTGTAGACTAGACTATAGACTAGACTATAGACTAGACTATAGATTAGACTATAGATTAGACTATAGAGTAGACTATAGACTAGACTATAGAACAGATTATAGACTTGACTATAGACTAGACTGTAGACTAAATTATAACTAGATTATAGACTAGACTATAGACTAGACTAGATTATAGACTAGACTATAGACTAGACTATAGACTAGACTATAGACTAGACTAGACTATAGACTATAGACTAGACTATAGACTAGACTATAGACTAGACTATAGACTAGACTATAGACTAGACTATAGACTAGACTATAGACTAGACTATAGACTAGACTATAGACTAGACTATAGACTAGACTAGACTATAGACTAGATTATAGATTAGACTATAGACTAGACTATAGACTAGACTATAGACTAGACTATAGACTAGTCTATAGACTAGTCTATAGACTAGACTATAGACTAGACTATAGACTACACTATAGACTGCACTATAGACTACACTATTAGACTATAGACGAGACTATAGATAAGACTATAGACTAGACTATAGACTAGACTATAGACTAGACTATAGACTAGATTATAGATTAAACTATAGACTAGACTATAGACTAGACTATAGACTAAACTATAGACTAGAGTATAGACTAGACTATATATTAGACTATAGACGAGACTATAGATAAGACTATAGACTAGACTATAGACTAGACTATAGACTAGGCTATAGATTAGACTATAGACTAGACTATAGACTAGACTATAGACTAGTCTATAGACTAGACTATAGACTAGATTATAGACTACACTATAGACTGCACTATAGACTACACTATAGACTACACTATAGACTACACTATAGACTAGACTATATGTATATTAGACTATAGGCTATAGACTGGACTATAGATAAAACTAAAGACTACACTATATAATACTATGGAGTAAACAAAGTTACTATCAATCAATTACATAATTTTTATTCTTTCTACAAAAATATGACTAGACTATACACTACACTAGACTATAGGTTACACTAGACTAGACTATAGACTAGCCTAGATTGTGGACTAGACTATAGACTATAGAATCGACTATAGACTTGAATATAGACTAACATATAGACTAGAATATAGACTAGACTATATGTATATTAGACTATAGGCTATAGATTTGGCTATAGATTAAACGAAAAACTTCACTATATAGTAGACTATAGAGTAGACAAAGGTGCTATCAATCCATTACATCATTTCTATTCATTCTACAAAAATTGTTTTAATATTGCACAATCTTTTATTAAAATATGATATTTTATTGTATGTTTTCTTTTAATATTTCTCGCACACACACAGGTAAAACTTTACCCAAGGTCAGCTATATAAAAGTGTCCGAGGTATGGTTTCTCGGTTGCACCCTCTTCATTTTTGGCAGTCTACTTGAATTTGCTTTTGTCAATACTATATGGCGACGTAAACGTAATGTGGATGTCAAATCGATGAGTAGCAAACACATATTAAAATCAACACTCTCACCGCGACTCTCGCGACGTAAAACCTCGAGATCACGTTCTTTTTCAACGGGCACCACAATGGGCAGTGATAATATATCATTGACTGGAGCTCCCAAATTCAATAATTATCTAACCGTACACAATATACCCATAACCACCATTAATGAACACGAGGTAGCCGATAATATATCGAAAGTTACAACGTTTACTACCGACAATCGTAAAATGGATGCGGGTCTTTTGGAACAGGGTTTTGATAATGAGACTAGAAATCAACGTCATGGCTGGACCACCCTGACGCCCCAGGAAATATCACATTGGATTGATAGTAAAGCTAGAGTTTTCTTTCCCATGTCGTTTTTGGTCTTTAATGCTATTTTCTGGACTTTTGTGTATATATTTTGAAAGTTCTTTTATGCGTCTGTAGGTATTGGCAATTTTGAGGTTGTATATGTACATTGTAAGAGATTGAGATTTTATTAAGATTTTGTAAAGTGTTTTCTTTTTTTGTTAAAATGTATTTTTTTAAGTTTTATTTCGCAGTTATGTTTTAATGTAATTTATTTTTTGTTATAAAATTTGTTTTATTGTAAATTTTATTCTAATAAAGTTAATGTTTTGTTAAGAAAAAATATGGAAAGTTTTGAAATTATTTTCTTGAACTATTAGTGTTCATCTTGTACGATCCATCTGAGTGGATCAGTTTAGATCAGTTGGCCAGTTTATAGATTATGAACATATTAGCAAGATAACCAGATCATATGACATAGGCCAGAGATCTTGAGTCTAATCGCACAATTGGGACAATCTCCTTGAGCTAATAGATAACCAACCAGTATCATGAGGAGAAGAACCTCTGATATAGTTATACAATAGGCACCAGTAATCACTTTTATTATGACAACGTAGCCAAATAAGCAAATCAAATGACACGCTCCAGTTGTTGTTGTCGATGGAAACCAAACACCGACTGTGAACCACCCAAAGATTTTGGGGGTCACCTTTGACAGCCTGTTTACTTCCTCAGCTCATGCCACTGCAATTACGCACAGATTGCGAAGTAGAAACAAAGTCCTCAAAGTGCTGGTCGGCAGCATTTGGGGAATGGACAAAGAAACCTTGTTGGCTACCTATAAAACAATTGGCCGGCCAGTCTCCTTCGCTGAGTGATACCCAGTGGAGAAATATTCATCCCAACCTTAACATCACACAATTGGAATGTCAGGAAGGACCTTCGTGCATACGAAGAGAGCATACAAAATCCCCGGATTAAAAATTGTATAGTTTAAGCTGTTACAACAACAACACGCTCCAGTGACACGCTACATTCCCCGACAGCCGCTTCTACGTACCGGAATAACCCGAATTATTCGGCCAAGGGCTGTCAACCCCAGCAACAACAATACACATTCCAGTTGCCACGATAACTTGAACTTCTTTCCTAAACGACTTGAGTCTTACTCGACTAAAGAATTTCAACCTATCGATAGCTAGGAATAAAGAACCTGAAGGAACTCTACTTGTAATAGGTATCAAGCTGAACTTCATTGCTAGTCTTGCCATGAAGAAAGGTGGTAGGACTTATTTCGCCCCTAAATATTTTAAAAAACACACATATTTTTTTGGTATTAGGTTTTAACCTAAAATTTTATTAATTTTTTTTCTTCGGTTTTTTTTTAGTTTTATTATTTCTATATATATTTTTAAAAATTTATATGTATAGTAGAAATTTGTAAATAATAATACATAAGTTTATGCACATTTAAAACCATATTAAGCATAGAAAATATAATAATAAAATTGAAAGCTTAATTTTAAAGCTTAAAAATTTGAATTAAATGAAATTTGTTAGAAATTTTCGTTAAGCTTTTCTGCTGCGTTAAAATGTGCATAATACAAAAATATTAAACTTTCTGTTTTAAAACAAAAAAATAATAAAAATAAAAAATGAAACAATAAATTTTATTAAAGAACTAATTACTATAACTAAAATTTAAGTTTACATACGAATTTCTTTAGTAATTAGATTTTTGTTTATAAGATCATGATTAATTTGTTTGTTTTAAATTTGTTTTTGCACAGATTTTTTTAAATATGTTTTTTTGTTTTTAGATTTTTTTCAATATTTTCTTGTTATATAATTTTTTTAAGATTAAAATTAAACTTAGATGTTGTTTTACTCATTAACGTACGTGCACAAAAGCCTTGTTAAGAATTTCAAAATTTTGTTTTTTTCTCTCTTTCAAATTTATATATCGATCACATTACACACAAAGTGAAGCTAAATGCTTTAGCGTTTACCATAAACATTCTCATCGGAATAGGCTATGTAAAGGAAATAGTCTTCCTCATGATGTTCCTGTTTCGAAAAGAGATCAATTTTAAGTAAAATGTTTTAATTCAATTATGTTAAAAAGTTCTCTTACCTGGTACAAGGAACCCATGGTGGCAGATGTTGGTGGAATAACATTATTAACGAAGAAGAATAGAGCATCTTCGGGTCTCAATTGTATGCGTTTACGAATTAAGAAATAGAATTGTCCTACGGTCAAATCGGATGGTACTAAATATTTTTTCTTATCCAAATCACCAATGCGTGCTTTAGGGGCTTTTTCTACAATAACCTAGAACATAAAAAAGAAAGAAAATAAAATAAAAAAATAACTATTGGTTTCAGAACAGTTCTCAAGAAGGTGTATATGTCCTCTAAAGTATTCCTAGCGCTAGTTCCGATGCAAATTCAATTAAAACACACTATTTAATGAACTGATTCAATAATCATTCCGTTGAACGAGAAATTGTCACGTTCAGAACTGTTTCTGTATAAGCGTTCTGTGGGTGAGGCTTTCATTAGTTTCAACTACAAACATGAACTACTTAGCAACACGCACTACCGAAATACGGCTCAAAATAACTCACTCCGGTCTCGCAACCGGTTCATGTTGAGATCAGATCTATCGCCTTAGGGATCGCAACCGTAGTGGCTGTGGTTAAATCTTAGTAGTGTGGTTGGGCGACTTTAAGAGGACCAGGAATGCACTGGAGTGAGTCTTTAGATGATGAAAATGTTTGTGGGGACATGGTATTCCTCATAGAATCAATATGGTGTTTTCACCTGATGTTACGTCCGGCCCTTCCATCGACTCTAACCAGTGATTGCCTTTTCCTTTTTCGGGGTTAGATTGAGCTTGAATCATGACACCTGTCATTCCCCAACGGAACTACTGTGGCAAGAGATTAGATAGCTCGAGTACTTGGGCAAAGTGCACGTATACTGGACCGGAAATTCCATATATGTAGGTAAATTGCTACCTGCGTGTAGGAAGCACAATGGGACGGTGGTTAGTCGTTACAGAAGCTCACCCAGTGATTGAAAAAGACTACCGTGAATCATGGCAGGTCTATTTATCTATCTATCTATCTATCTATCTATCTATCTATCTATCTATCTATCTATCTATCTATCTATCTATCTATCTATCTATCTATCTATCTATCTATCTATCTATCTATCTATCTATCTATCTATCTATCTATCTATCTATCTATCTATCTATCTATCTATCTATCTATCTATCTATCTATCTATCTATCTATCTATCTATCTATCTATCTATCTATCTATCTATCTATCTATCTATCTATCTATCTATCTATCTATTATCTATCTATCTATCTATCTATCTATCTATCTATCTATCTATCTATCTATCTATCTATCTATCTATCTATCTATCTATCTATCTATCTATCTATCTATCTATCTATCTATCTATCTATCTATCTATCTATCTATCTATCTATCTATCTATCTATCTATCAATCTATCTATCTATCTATCTATCTATTTTTATCTATCTATCTATCTATCTATCTATCTATCTATCTATCTATCTATATACCTATCAATATATCAATATATCTATCTATCTATCTATCTATCTATCTATCTATCTATCTATCTATCTATCTATCTATCTATCTATCTATCTATCTATCTATCTATCTATCTATCTATCTATCTATCTATCTATCTATCTATCTATCTATCTATCTATTTATCTATCTATCATATCTATCTAATTATCTATTCTACTTTCAACTTTTTACTTTAAAGTCATGTCAATTATTTGTTCTTTCGGGTTATTAACAAAACAAGTCTATTTATTTAATAAATCATTACCTTAAACAAAATTTAAAATTAAACAAAAAAACTAAATACATGACATTGTAAATAACAAACAAAATTTCTAAACAAAGAAAGCAAACTTTAGCTATTTCACTGATAAAAATAATATAAATACAAAAAGTACTTTTCTTCAAAAATACAAAATTTTACATTCTATTCTATTTTTAAATAGAAATGCCCTTTAAACAATCAAACAGTTGTTATGAAAAGAAATATAGAATGATAAATATGTACTTAATAAAAGACAAAACTGAAGAACAAATTTAAAATAAAGAAATAAATACAAAATATATACATACATATGTATTTGTATGTTTATAAAAATGTATACTTAATAAAATGTTTAGATATTTTATTATTATTTTGCCAAATACGCAATAGTAAATGATCAAAACAAAAGCGAAAACGTTTGTTTTTTGTTTATAAACAAACTTGAAAATTGCGTCAACTAATTTTTAGTAATTTTGGAAAACAAATATAAACATGAGAAGAAGACACTTGAAGAAAATACAAAACAAGATTATAATTAACACGCAACAATATTTAGTTTAGCGACCTTAGAATCTTTATTGTGAAATTAATTAATAAATCAAGTTTTACCACAAATATTAACTTATATGAAATTAATTGAGTTAAAATAAACAAAAATTTCAATGTTTAGGATCAATATGTAGTTAAAAATAACTGATCTTAAAGTTTTCTATAGGAAACTAAGATATGATAATGTTTTCTATAAAAAAAAAAACAAACTGGTCGTAAAGTTTGCTATAGAATACTAAGAACACATAAAGTTTTCTATAAAACTCTAACTGATCGTTAAATTTCTTTAGAAAACTAACAGAGCATTCACTTTTACATAGAATACTAATTGATCGTATAGTTCTCTATAGAAAACTAAACTGTCGTTAAGTTTTTTATAGGAAACTTACCGATCGTAATGTTTACTACTGAAACTAACTAACTAGTCTATAGTCTAACTTATGGCGAAGTTTATTACGAAAAAACTAATAGAACGTATATAAAAAACAACTAATGCTAAATGGAAACTAATAGAAAACCGACAATTTTATTAATTTTTTTAACTAATTGTAAAGTTTTTCGGGGAATTATTGTTTTGTGTAATGTTCTATTATTAAATTTCTTAAAATTATATAATAAAATAGAAAAATGTTTAACAAAAAGTTTAGTACATATTTTGGCATAATACACAAAAATTTCAAGTGCCAATAGTTATTCCCCAAGTAAATTAAATTTGAAATAAAAATTCAATGTAGTAACCTAAAGTAAATTGTAAATCATGTAAAGACAAAGCAAATGAACACTTAAATAAGCAATGACATTTAAAAAATAAACATTTATTCATACAGTTTTCTTTTAAAATTCAATTAAAGTGTTTTCAAATAAAATTTAATTGTTTTTTAAAAAGATTATTGAAAGCTATAAAGTATGGTTTAAAAAGATTCTACTGATTTGGATGCTTTGAACTGTTTTTTTTCATACTTTTCTTGTTATTTACGTCAAATATATGTAACATTACCTTTGATATATAAGGAATGTAAAAATACAAATAATAAAGAAATTGTTCAAGTATGTATAATTATTGCTTTTGTTTTAGTGTAACTAAATATTTTTATACCCTACACTTTCGCGAGAAGTTTGTTATTACGTTTGTAATCTGTGACCCTGTAAAAAATATTTATTTTCGGAGTCTTCAAGCCTATAATCTAGTTTATAGACCAGTCTATAGTTTAGTCTATAATCTAGTCTGTATTCTAGTCTATATTCTAATCGATAGTCTGTAGTGTAGTTATTAGTTTAGTCTACAGTTAAGTCTAGTCTAGACTATAGACTAATGACAAGTCTAGTGTAGTCTAACGTCTGACCTATAGACTTGTCTATAGTCTAGTCTACAGATTACTCTATAGCCTAGACTATGGACTAGACTATAGACTAGACTATAGACTATACTATAGACTTGACTAGTCTATAGTCTAGTCTATAGTCTAGTCTATATTCTAGTCTATATTCTAGTCTAGTCTATATTCTAGTCTAGTCTATATTCTAGTCTAGTCTATAGTCTAGTCTATAGTCTAGTCTATAGCCTAGTCTACAGTCTAGTCTATAGTCTAGTCTATAGTCTAGTCTATAGTCTAGTCTATAGTCTAGTCTATAGTCTAGTCTATAGTCTAATCTGTAGTCTAATCTGTAGTCTAGTCTAGTCTATAGTCTAGTCTATAGTCTAGTCTAGTCTATAGTCTAGTCTATAGTCTAGTCTATAGTCTAGTCTATAGTCTAGTCTATAGTCTAGTCTATAGTCTAGTCTATAGTCTAGTCTATAGTCTAGTCTATAGTCTAGTCTATAGTCTAGTCTATAGTCTAGTCTATAGTCTAGTCTATAGTCTAGTCTATAGTCTAGTCTATAGTCTAGTCTATAGTCTAGTCTATAGTCTAGTCTATAGTCTAGTCTATAGTCTAGTCTATAGTCTAGTCTATAGTCTAGTCTATAGTCTAGTCTATAGTCTAGTCTATAGTCTAGTCTATAGTCTAGTCTATAGTCTAGTCTATAGTCTAGTCTATAGTCTAGTCTATAGTCTAGTCTATAGTCTAGTCTATAGTCTAGTCTATAGTCTAGTCTATAGTCTAGTCTATAGTCTAGTCTATAGTCTAGTCTATAGTCTAGTCTATAGTCTAGTCTATAGTCTTGTCTATAGTCTAGTCTATAGTCTAGTCTATAGTCTAGTCTATAGTCTAGTCTATAGTCTATAGTCTAGTCTATAGTCTAGTCTATAGTCTAGTCTATAGTCTAGTCTATAGTCTAGTCTATAGTCTAGTCTATAGTCTAGTCTATAGTCTAGTCTATAGTCTAGTCTATAGTCTAGTCTATAGTCTAGTCTATAGTCTAGTCTATAGTCTAGTCTATAGTCTAGTCTATAGTCTAGTCTATAGTCTAGTCTATAGTCTAGTCTATAGTCTAGTCTATAGTCTAGTCTATAGTCTAGTCTATAGTCTAGTCTATAGTCTAGTCTATAGTCTAGTCTATAGTCTAGTCTATAGTCTAGTCTATAGTCTAGTCTATAGTCTAGTCTATAGTCTAGTCTATAGTCTAGTCTATAGTCTAGTCTATAGTCTAGTCTATAGTCTAGTCTATAGTCTAGTCTATAGTCTAGTCTATAGTCTAGTCTATAGTCTAGTCTATAGTCTAGTCTATAGTCTAGTCTATAGTCTAGTCTATAGTCTAGTCTATAGTCTAGTCTATAGTCTAGTCTATAGTCTAGTCCATAGTCTAGTCTATAGTCTAGTCTATAGTCTAGTCTATAGTCTAGTCTATAGTCTAGTCTATAGTCTAGTCTATAGTCTAGTCTATAGTCTAGTCTATAGTCTAGTCTATAGTCTAGTCTATAGTCTAGTCTATAGTCTAGTCTATAGTCTAGTCTATAGTCTAGTCTATAGTCTAGTCTATAGTCTAGTCTATAGTCTAGTCTATAGTCTAGTCTATAGTCTAGTCTATAGTCTAGTCTATAGTCTAGTTATAGTCTAGTCTATAGTCTAGTCTATAGTCTAGTCTATAGTCTAGTCTATAGTCTAGTCTATAGTCTAGTCTATAGTCTAGTCTATAGTCTAGTCTATAGTCTAGTCTATAGTCTAGTCTATAGTCTAGTCTATAGTCTAGTCTATAGTCTAGTCTATAGTCTAGTCTATATGTCTAGTCTATAGTCTAGTCTATAGTCTAGTCTATAGTCTAGTCTATAGTCTAGTCTATAGTCTAGTCTATAGTCTAGTCTATAGTCTAGTCTATAGTATAGTCTATAGTCTAGTCTATAGTCTAGTCTATAGTCTAGCCTATAGTCTAGTCTATAGTCTAGTCTATAGTCTAGTCTAGTCTAGTCTATAGTCTAGTCTAGTATAGTCTATAGTCTAGTCTATAGTCTAGTCTTGTCTATAGTCTATAGTTTATAGTCTAGTCTACTCTATAGTCTAGTCAAGTCTATAGTCTAGTCTGTAGTCTAGTCTATAGTCTAGTACATAGTCTAGTCTATAGTCTAGTCTATAGTCTAGTACATAGTCTAGTCTATAGTCTAGTCTATTGTCTATAGTCTAAACTATAGCCTAGTCAATAGTATAGTCTAGACTATTTTGGAAAAAAAATTAAACTAGTCTAGTATGTATATAGTCTAAGCTATAGCCTAGTCTATAGCCTAGCGCATAGTCTAATCTATATTCTAACCTAAAGTCTAATCTATAGCCTAGTCTATAGTCTAATCTACACTAATTTGGAAAAAGGAAATTTTAAAATATTTCTTAAAATTTATAATAAAAATTTAAAATTGTTTTTATATTATTACTAAAATATACTAAGCTGAAGGGTAATAAGATTCGATACAGCCGTGATAGCCCTCTTACTTGTTTTTCAATAATATTATTGTTATTTTCCTTAAGTATTTCGCTTCCCCTCTCTTTGTTTTTTAAAAGTATTCGCAAAAACAAATAAATATAACTTTTAAACGTAGTAAACAAACTCTAGTAACAATAACAATACTTTTAAAATAATAATTAGTCTATGACTCAATATTTTATTGTTAGTATGTATGTATGTATTGTTATTGTCATGAATTTCATAAATTATTGTAAATATTGCATAAAATCATCGTATGTTTTTCTACTATTGATTTTTTTGTATATATTTAATTTATTTTAAATTTGCTTTGTAATTCGTTTCAGTATGTGTTCACTTGGTCTTTTATTTGGTTTGGTTTTTTTCTAATTTATTTCAATTTTACATTAGCTTTTGTTTTATAATTTTTTTCTATTGTTTCTTTTTTGTCTACAGAGGGGGATTTGGTTTTGGTTTAACAGCTGTTCTCTTTATACTATGAAAATGTCTATGTTATATATTGTATTTATTTTTATGCAGTTTTGACTTTGAAATAAACAAATTAAATTGTTAAAAAAAGTCATTGAATTAGGTCATTCACATAGAACAAGTTAATAAAAATAATTATGATTTAAATCTTATATGTTAAATAAATTAATTAGTCTAAAGTTATTAGATTAGACTGTCTTCTAGAATACATATACATAATTGTTTATTTAATTATCTATTTTGGTTTGCCCAACCTTATTTTTAATCAAATCTAAGTCTTGGTAGTAATTTTGAAGATATTTCATTGAAAGCGATCTGCTGTTGCTGCAAGAATGAACCCTTTTGAATTGAATTAGAATTGGGCCATTACTTCATTTAGCCACCATGTAAATATGCCCAAAACTGACTGTGGGTGACAAACATTGTGCTTTAAAATTCTGTCTGAAATCTATCTATCTATCTATCTATCTATCTATCTATCTATCTATCTATCTATCTATCTATCTATCTATCTATCTATCTATCTATCTATCTATCTATCTATCTGTGTGTCTGTCTGTCTGCCTATCTATCTATTATGCATATATGGACTAATTACATTTTAAAAAAATCCTAATATATATTTTCAAATTATTAGCAAGGTCATTGATCTATTATATATTTTCTATGCAGGTGAAATTCTATTAAATGCATTTTATAAAAAAAAAACTACCCTTGATAATTAACTAAATTATTGTATATTCGAAAAAAAAACATAATATTAAAAACATTTAATTTCAAACACCCCTCAATAAATAAACTTTCCCTTAAAATCCACAACTGAAAAAAGAAGAACAGCTGGCAACACCCCCCACCAATAACAAAACAAATATATAAATACACAAAACAAAGCACAAAAAATAAAGCAAATAAACTAGAGAAAACAAACAACAAATACAAACAGATGATTTTTTTCCTATATTGACTACTGCCATCTCTTTTTCCAAATATTGCTTACTCATTCCCACAGCTTTTAATTATGTATATACACACAATTAAACAAAAAAATTACATACAAATAAAAAAAAAAACTAGCTTGAAAGGTTTTAATTTCATTATATTTTTTATGACGCAATTTAAAAAATAATTTTAAAATTCTTTTAATTTGTACAAAAATTTTAATACAAATTAAAACGAATTTAAATTACAACAATTACAGCCAGGCTTGGTGGGGGGCTGTTAAGACACTTTAGAAAAAATTTTAAAGGGAGTGAAACTAAATCTGTGATCAGAAAAGCACGTCGGAAATATGGTGAAACTTTGTTCAGTGTAACTGATAATAGTACATTATGGAATAGAATACGTAAAATGGGTATCGTTGATTCGAAAAAATCTGAATGCAATGATTTAGACGTGGAAGAAATAGCTAATGTTTTTTTGGACAATCTCAGGCAGGACAATACCGGAAACCTTGAATTTGACAACTTTGAAGACATTGCCAATTCGTTTTCTTTTATTCCTGTTACAGAATATGACATATTAATCGCTTTAAATTCAATTAAATCTAACTCTACAGGTCATGACAAAATTCCTATTAAATTTATAAAGATAATCTTTCCTCTCATTTCCCCTATACTTTTGTATCTTACAAACACTATTTTCACCTGTTCTAAGTTTCCAACCTCCTGGAAATTAGGCCGAGTCGTACCAATCCCAAAAAACGGAAAATTTGATAAAGAAAACTTACGACCCATAAGCATTTTACCTGCTATGTCCAAAATAATAGAAAATATAATGAAAAAGCAAATATTTGATTATTGTGCACAATATTCTTTAATCCACCCTAGTCAATTTGCATTCCAACGTAATCTCAACTCTACGTCTTTACTATTATCTCTCACCGAATCTATTAGAACCAAATTAGATAGCCAAAGAAATTGTACGTTAATTTCACTAGATCTCAGTAAAGCTTTTGATCGCATAAATCATGCCACTCTTGTAGATAAGCTCAGAAGATACTTTAATTTTTCAAAACCGGCATGTAAATTAATATACTCCTACCTTTCAGGACGGTCGCAGTACGTTTCCTTCAATGGTTATAACTCTAGTATTAGTAATGTAACTTCTGGCGTAGCTCAAGGGTCCGTACTGGGTCCCATATTTTTCTCACATATTAAATGACTGTATCTCGCTTTTTAATAACAGCTTTTGCCAATCCTTTATATTTGCTGATGATATATTTTTATTGTTTTCAGATAAGTACGACAATATGGAAAATTTTGAGATAAATTTGAATGTTCACCTTAACTCAATATCTAGTTGGATGTATACAAATAGTCTTGAGATAAATCCAACTAAGACAAAGGCCTTAAGTTTTAATTTAACTAACCGAACTTTTTCATTTCCAAGAATATCTATTAACGGACAGGCAATTTTATTTGTGGAATCTCTCAGATGCCTCGGTGTAATTATTGATTCTAAGTTAAATTTTAATGAACATATCAATTTAATTGCTAATAAAACTTGTCTTATTTTAAGAAGACTTTACTCGTTAAGAGCGTTTACTCCCAAACATGTAAGGAGCCGACTTGCCTTTTCACTTATCATGTCCCGAATTAACTATTGTCTCGAAGTTTTTTCAGCAACGTGGTCTTATAATCTTAATATTATTGAAGCAACTGTTCGAAAGGTAATTCGTTATGTATTTAATTTAAGAGCTCTAGAGCATGATCGTACTTCGATGCTCACTCCAGTATTCTTGAAATGTAGTTTTAATAATTATATTAATCTACGTATTTTACTTTATTTCTACAAGGTTATAAAATCCGGTAAACCAATATCACTTGTAAATCAATTTTCATTCATAAACTCAACACGAAATATTCAAATTTTTATTCCTCTGGGACATCTTTCTGTGTTTGATCGATCTTTTGTAAAAAGAATCCATCATACTTGGAGCTTACTACCCAACCATCTCAAACAATTTTCTTATTCTTCTCATACTTATAAGAAGAAACTCTTAGATTTTTTTAATGAAAATCAGTAGCATGATTAGACATTGTTTTTAACCTACATCAACCTTTGGTTATAGGATTATTATTATTATTTCTTGATATTTAATTTTTGACAATACATACATATATGGCTGGGGAGCCAAATCGACTTTTCTAGTATAGTTATCTGTCTCGCTCATGGTTATTTGTCACGGGCTTGTACAATAAATTTTTACTACAATATTTGTTCTACAAGCTCTGATAAATTCTTATGAATATGACAGTATATATATACCTATATATATATATCTAATGATTACTGTATCTTATTTTGTATTTATATAAAATTAATTAATCTATTACATAGTTATTAATCTTACAATACATATTTTATTGGCCATGAAGGCTTTCTTTGTATTGATATTAATAATAAATAAAAAAAAATAAAAAAAAAAAAAAAAAAAAAAAAAAATTTTCTTGAAATTTCCAACAAGAAAATCCATTTTTTCTTAAAAAAAAAACAGTTTACTTTTCCTTTAATTTTCGTCTACTTACTGGTACACGATCAGGATATTTTCTGCGAATTTTATCTCCCTCAGCACGACGTTTCTCAAAAACATGTTCTTCTTTATATTGGAATTTCATTTTTAATTAATTTTTTTCACAAAATATATATTTTAATTTCAATACTTTTTTCACGACTGTCTACTGCGTTCTCGTTTTTTCTTTTGTAAATATTTTGTTGTGCTATGATTTGCTTCTACGTTTTGAATGATAATTTTTCTATGAAAAGAAAAAAAAAAATCGATTTTTTGGTTTTCTATTATATGCAGGGTTGCTAAAAAGTGTAGTAGTAGAAAAGTATTAACAGTGTTGCTATATTTTGGTACAGCTGAAAAACAAGAAAAACGCTTATTTGCTTTTAAAGGCCAATAACACAACGCAATAAAATTAAACTTTATTGGAGTATTTTAATGAAATGCTATATTTTTATAATACTAGCATAACCCGGTGTGCTTCGCTATCCTTATAGTAATAAAAAATAAAATAACAACATAAACCATACTTTAACAACTCAATTTTGAGGAAAATCAAAAAAATACCAGTTATAAAACGAAAAAGTACCAGCTATAGATCGTAAAAGGACCAAAAAATAGTCTTTGTACTAATTAGTGTTACTAAATCTAAAAATTATTAAAAATTGTCTCAATGAGTTTGAATCAAATTTCCAGTTTTTAGCCAGTTTTTGTACTTTTTTCCCTTCACATTTATGAAATAAAAAATGTATTCCAAAAACTTGCATTGGGAGCCTGTCTTTATGTATTATTATGTATGCATAAGCCAATAAATAGAAACAAATGTTTATGAAAAAAAGTACCTTAATATCTAAGTGGATCTAATTATTAATAACACTATGATCTGTTCAAACTTGATTGATTTTTATATAAAATCTTTGAAAATTTTAAAAACACAACTGAAAACTTAGCCGGCTTATAGCCGATTTTAAACCGACGCCGAAATTATTAGTTTTGAACGCCGTTCATGTTTGTCGGCGCAGATCTCTGTAAAAATGCTGTATTATCAAAATGTCTGACTTAAAGTGAGTGTAGTAAAAATTTTTATTATTTATTTTATTAATAATAAAAGTTAATTATTTCAATTAAATTACTAAACAAAATGTTAAACACAAAGTGCTTTACAAGATTTATATAAAACATAAGATAATTTTAAGACATTTTTCGAGTTATATGCGTTTAAAATTGTGGAAAAAATTTTCATTGTAATTCTTAAAAGGGGAAGCGCAAGAAGAGGGGGTCAACAATTTACGACAGCTGCGTGTCAAGTGAAGAAAAATATTGGAAATTTTCTTTTACAATTTAGCATAATGTGCAAAATGCAAACTAATGTTAATTTTGTTAATTTGTTTTTATTATAATTACAGTGATGACTTATTAAATTATGATATAGGAGATGTTATAGATGATCAGGTCTTGATAGGAGCTGATGAAGATGAACTATTGCTTTCAGATGATGGTAAGTGGTTGTAGTGTGCTATAAACGTTTTGTTCGTGAAATACTAATTATTGTGTGTTTGTGTTTCTATAGATTTAGAAAAAGATGTTTCTAAGGAAGAAAAACAAAAATTAAAATCTGAAGCTGAGGAATGGGTCAAAACGCAAATTAAAGATAAACCTAAAAAAGCAACAAAACAAGTCGTCGCAGAACAAAAAACAATTGAAACAGCTAAAACCAGCCAGACAGAAAATACAAAAAATGAAGTTAATAAAGTACAAGAAAGTTCCGCTAAGGAACAACAACAACAAACACAAATTACAAAGCAAGAGACTGCAGCAGCAGCATCCTCATCTACAATTACACAAGAATTTAAAGCTCCAGCTGAACAAACAAATAACACAACTAGTAATAATGTGGAAACAAATACTAGTACAGTAATTGCTACTACAGCATCTGTGGAAAATTTAAGCAATTCTAGCAAAGAAATGGAATTGGATCAAGCGTCAAATATTTCAAATTCTGCTGCAAGTTTAACAAATGATTCTTGTGGCTCTTCGGTAATACAAAGTTCTCAGGAAAGTGCAAGTGTTACCATGAGTCATGGTGATGTATCAGATCCTCGTGAAGACTATGAGGAAGAACGTGAAGAACGTACAAATATAAAAACTACAAGTGAACGAGAAACCTTTGATCACGGCAATGAACATTCGCCAGGTAATTGAACTTTTTTGGCCAGCTTTTCGGCCGAACTCGTAAAAAGTTTAGGAAATATTGGCATTTACGTTTTAAATTATCTTTTTTTAGAAAAATCTGTAAATCGTTATGTTTATCATCAAAAAAGAAATGGTGCTCCGCTAATACGTGGCCACCCTCTACGAGGTCCTGCTCCTCCTTTCCAACGTCCCCTGTTACGTTTCCCTCCTCATGGTAATATATCCTTGCTAGCACCATCGCCCTTTACACATTTGGGCGGTTTAGCAACAGTTACACTAACACATCCCAATACCAATCCTCTTATTCCAGGTCAACCATTTCCACCACCAAATCAACAACCTAACACAAATCCTTTTGCACCACAACCTCCACCCAATTCCCTACAGAATACACCTCACGGACCTATGGCAGGACCAAATCATGACCCAAATAATCCTCATCACAGGCCACGGCATCCATTTGGTTTTCGTCCAGGTCCCATGGCAGGTTTTCGTCATCCTAATTCCTCCGGCATGTATTCACAAGTGCCGCATGATTATAATGGTGGCCAGGGACCGGGCGGCTTTAGCCAGCATCAATTTGGGGGCCCACGTAATGTTTTTAGACCAGAAGGTCCTATGGGTTTACCGCCTGGTATGCGTCCCGGCATGCGCATGCAAAGACCTCCCTTACAAGCTTTACCACCTCATGCTATGCCTAACCAGGGTAATTTTATTAATGCTCCTCCCCATCAGATAAGGCCACAAGCTGGTCCGGGACCACAACCACCTCCCGGGGCACCTTCCGTAACCGGTCAAACACCTCCTGTCTCAAATCAACCTCCAGCTGGTCAAATGCCTGCTGCTGCTCCTGCGCTAGCTCCACGTAAAGTTCTTATTAATCCTAATTTTAAGGGGGGTGTTGAAGCAGCTACTAGTAAATTTATACAAGAAACCCAATATATGAATGCCATAAATCCACATGTACCCCGAGTACAGAGTGATGAGGAGCTATTGCGTCAACAGGAGGAATTCATTAATAAAAATCGTGAACATATTGAGAAACGACGTCATGCCAGAGATGTTTCCCCCGCAAGACGTTCCCGCAGTCGCAGTCGTTCACGATCTCGTTCACGTTCACCACGCAGTGTTTCTCGTGAACGTAGCTATACACCACCCAAACGGCATCCCAATGGTGGTCCCAATAATCGTAATGATCGTTTCGATCGAGAACGTGATCGCGATCGTGATAGAGCTGATCGTGATCGTCCTTCCAATGATGATAAGAATACACGCATGGGCAGAGCTAGCAGTAGGGATCGTGAAGATCGTGACAGAGATCGTAATCGTCCAATGAGTGGTTATAATAATAACAATAATCGCCAGGGCGCTAATCGCTTTAGACGTGCTAATAGTCGTGATCGTGATTATGAGAATCGTAATCAAGGTGGCAGTGGCGGTGGTAATTATGGAAAACGTCGTCGTAGTAATTCACCCTCGCCGGGTAATCGTGGCGGAGGTGGTAATTTTGGTGGCAATAGAGGTGGACGTTATAATAATGATCGTGATAAATCAGAGGTAAGTTTTTTTAAAGTATTTTTTATTGAATGATAAAAAGTTAATCAGATTGTTGACAGTGAATGTTTACGTTATGAAATTAAAATAGTATTTGTTTTAATTAACTAAAATCGGGCGATGAGAAACTGAACTGATGAGAAGTTGTAATATGTATTATAACAGACGTTACTGTGTCTTTCAATTGACAATCTATATTCCAAATATGATCGAAAACCGGGAGAAGTTTCAAAATCTTTTGATTTTGATCAATCTGTTTAAATTTGAATGCTTAAGGCTTTGCGGTAATCGCTGCAACATTCTTCGCCATAGTTACTAGTGAGATGACCAGTTTAGCATAGTAAACAGTGCCTAGGTTTGAGTAATTCTAAGTAGGACTGTTATTATTATTGCCAACAAATTCATAATGTGTTCGTGCTTTAGTTGTTGGATTGATTTCTTCAGCAATGGCCATCAAACTGTCGAATCTCCTAGTGAAAAGCACTAGTTATTTTATGCTCAGGTTTACTCTCAGCACAATCCTGAAGGCTAGAACTAAATGTTGAAGTCAGTGGCGTTAGGTTACGTTATGTATTGATCCACTTGATAACGCATTACTCAACGATACAGTAAACACGGTAGTTGTAGAATATCGTATGAAGAAGAATGCACATTGTCATTGAAATGAGCTTAACCCTTGACATTTTGACTGTTCCCACCAATTCCACCTCACTCAGCCCTAAAGATCTGTTGGCTAATATAGTTATCCGATGCAGAAATGTTGTTATTTACAAAATTTTATTATACTCGTTGTTTAGTTTAGGGTTTCAGCCCAGAAGATTTACCGCGTAGATTCCCTAAAGAAAGAAATGGGAGAGAATCTGAGTCTACTTATAAAATACATTAAAAAAAAACTGTTAAAACCTATTAGATTTCGAGAATACCTATCTCGTAGGTCTTACAGGAATTGAAGGAAGTACGGATGGTATTTCTGTTCATTTTGCTACGACCTTGGACCTCAGAGTGAAACTTAAGTAGTGATTCTTAGTATGATCGAATGGATTGGGTCTGAAGTACTGTTTGAGGGGTGTGCAGTCTTTACTGATGGATCCAAGATGGAATCTGGTACTGTGGCCGGTGTTTATCTGGTTGATGGCAACATAAAAGTGTTTTATAGACTTCCGGACCAATGTAGCTTTTTCAAGTGGAGATCTTGGCAATCTGGAAATACGTGGATATTATTAAGATACATATTTGTAGCTGCTCGGAAGTAACGGTTTATGTTGATAGTCAGGTAGTTTTGAAATGTAAAAAGTTGCATTCTCGCTTGGGCCTTTTGGTCTACGAGTGAATACCATGGAATACAACCCTTTTAAACTAAACTAGTAGATTTCAAGGATTAAGTCCCGCAATTTCCCTCAGTTCGTCATTGTATCTATTTCCCTGCCATTTCAACCAGATATTCAGTTTTATTATATCCTCGATCGTCTCTAGTTCCTCTGCATCTTCGCATAGCCTGTTCAGAGTTCAGTATATTACTGTACCACTTACTGACAAAGGCCCTAA